GTCCCAGTTAGCCATCTCAGTCCATGAAGGTTTACAACCGTGTCAACTAACCTCTAACTTTATAACTGACTTCTGAATTACTCACGTGGTGTGATGACCCCATACAATACAGCCTATACTACGGAGACAACGGTAGTCAAACACCTGCCCCAGCCAGGCTTCTCATGTCTTCCACCTTCAATGGCCATGTTTCACAGTCATAGAGTAGAACAGATCGAACTGCTGTCCATGTGCAGTACACGCGACCCTTAACAGATAATCGGATATCAAGGTGGCGCCACATGTCGCGTCAGTTGTCAAAAGCCAATTCACCTTTCTGTATTCATGCCGAGATCTCATCGGCCACTCACTGACCAACGCACCAGGACTGATCCTACTTCCTAGGTAAGTGAAGTGGTCAACACATCCAACCACTACACTCACTCTATTGTTAGCCGTGGTGGGGCACCGTTGAAGACGAATCGTGAAGCAACGTTTTGCATTTGGGTGATGAGAAGCGCATCCGGAACATTCTCAAATTCCCACTCAAAGTGTGCGTGCATTGCAATGGCTGGGATTCTTTTCTAGATTACTGATTCTGTTCAGGTTTGTGATTCTACATCTAACCAAATTCCTATGTTCCGATAATCTAACTGACCCCGACCGGCTAGTTTGACCTATGTACTTGACTTCACAGTCATTACAGGAAATTTGATAGATTAGATTATTCTGCCTAATTGGTTTTATCGGATCCTTAAGCCAACCGACAAAACTTATCTCTGAGTGAGTTTGTAATTTTAAATGCCAACCTAATTCCAACTCCTTGGAGGACTCCGCATAAACTTTCCAATGTACCTTCCTTGTAGGGTAACACAACTGAGGTTGTGAACTCCTTCCTACTCGTGTTACTGTTGTTATTTCGTTTCTTGTATGTTCGTACAAATTTCTTAATAAACTGTAGAGGATAACTATTAACTATTAGCGCTTCTTTTATGTGTTTCAATTCCTTGTTTAGGTCCTTGTACTGACTAGTCAGTTTCCCAGCTCTATCATTTAGACATTTGACAAGACCTGCCTTCACTGACTGACTGACATTGGATGAGATGACTTGAAGTCTTGGTACCTGTTGGAATGTGTCAGTTTCCTGTAGACGGTAGTACTCAGACCACCGTCTGCCCTTCGTTTTATCTTGCAATCGAACATACAGAATTCTTCTTGTTCATTTCCTACCTCCTCGTTAGTGAATTGGACTGCGCCTACTACTGATTTTATATGTCTGAAGAAAGTGTCGATATGTTCCGATCTCAACACAGTAAATGTGCCATACACATATCACCACCAACTGTGCATAAATATATCTATTACGATTGGGGATATTGGTGATCCCATTGCTACTTCTTCTGTTTGTCCATATATTTTGTCTTGGAACTTGAAGTGTGGAGGTCAGACACAACTGTACGCCTAATATGATCTCATCAACCGATATCTCAGTTCTCTGAGTCAATATTTAGTTGATTCCTGACTGCCCTCAGTGCCATATGGATTGATATTTTAGGCTTGTTATATCAAAACTAACCACTTTTTTCATCCTCTTCCATATGTAGGTCATTAAGCCTGTTTTAACTCGTACGGACTGACTAGTCTAAAATTTGAACGGTACCTAATATGGCACAGTATCGATGTTGAGTACTTTGCTAGTTCATATGCTGGGGTATTTCTGAAGTCAACTATGCGCCTAATGGGATAACTTGGTTTATATGAACCTTAATGGTGCCATTAACACACAAACACTGTACTTAAGTCCGACAATATAATTAGGTGTACAGACAGAGAGGGAAATGGATTACTGAACTCTTGTTCACCGAATCAGCCAACATCCAGTACATGCAAAAAGAATGACATAACACAACCAATATCAGAGATATGGAGGACTTTACTACCAATAACCAATGATAATTTATACTGGAAACGCCATTAAGTAAATAAATAACACTTCCCAGGCCACGGATGTATCGACTAAGTATTCACACTGCGCCAGGTTCTGAAACACAGTCACACTAACCAACTCCTGACAATATAGTTGTATTTCTCGACCTGAAGGCGGCATTTGACTCCGTTGATCGAGAAGTTTCATGACAATGTCTCTCACTGAGAGGCGTGCCAAGTAAGTACATCACTATACTATACTCGAACAATTGTGGGCGTGTTAGAGCCTACGCTGAGATAACCAGGGGATCTATGCTCATCGAGTGGTATCCGTCAAGAATGCGCAACTCTCCCTATTCTTATTGAATTTTATCATAGATATTCTTATGGAGGTCTTCCTTTCGTCACCTGATTACACAAACGTTGACTTAATCAAAGGAGAATTTTTATTAGACCTAGAATATGCAGAAGGCTATCACCAACTGGCGTCATTTCGCCTCTCCGATTCCAGCGAGGAATAATTTCGTTATTATTTCTATATATCGTTTGTGCTTTGAAGTTTCTTTAGCGGTTAGATTTGTTTTACGGGGTAGGGTTGCTAGCCCTATGCGCAACCTTCCCTCTTTACCCGGGCTTAGGACCGGCTAGTAACTAGTGATCTAGTCAACCAGGCGAGGTAATTTGGAAACTGCTTCATTACTACAGAGTACCACAAACCTTTATCAGACTCATTCAACAGCAGCTATATGAAGACGCCACATGACAAGTAATTCACAATGGGAAGCTCAGTGACGCCTTTCGAGTGAAGTGAAGACAGAAGTGAAACAAGGTCGCCTACTATCCCCCATGATATTCCTGATTGTGGTCGACTGGACTGGATCATGCAGCAAACAGTGGGGAGCTGTGAGAACAGGGGATACGCTGGCTGGACTGCGGAAAAGATAATAGAAGATCTGGATTTCGCCAACGATGACTTGTGCCTGATGTCACATAAACTTGAAGATCTGCAGGCAAAAACTAACAACTTGGCAGAAGAGGCAAGGCGGCGAAGACGGGACTTCAGGTAAATATAGAGAAGACACAGGTGATGAAGATACCGCACCACCAACAACAACAACAACAAACTCCAATCACCATCACCATGAACGGGAGAAACTTAAAGGAAGTAACCTCCTTCACTTATCTAGGAAGCACTGTTTCAACTACAGACGGCACAGACATAGACGAGGATGTGAAAGTCAGAATCGGAAAAACAGCAAGACAGGCGTTCATTAGCCTGAAACCAGTGTGGAGATCATCTGCACTCAGCATGTGGAACAAGATGTGGATTTTCAACACCATTTCAGTCAAGTCAGTGCTTGTGTATGGCTCAGAGACTTGGCGCGTTACGAAAGAGATTTCCAACAAACTACAGACATTCATCAACAACTGCTTACGCTGGCTCGATACTGAAGATGAGATGGCCAGAATAACAAGAATAAGCAACAAGGAACTCTGGCCACGCAATGAAACAACAAGGCGAGAACCTATCGCTCAACAAATATGCAGGAGGAAGTGGAGATGGATTGAATTGGCATACACTGAGAAGGCCAACTGGGGACATCATGCGTCAGGCCAGTCACTCGAGTGGAATCCCCATGGGAAGCGACGAGTTGGACGTTGGAGATGAGGGTGACATGGAGGAGATCGTGCGAGGAGGAAATGAGAGCTTGTGGGCTGTCGTGGAGCCAGGTTGAAAAGATTTCAGAGAACAGAGTTCACTGGAGACGTGCTACTGAAGCCCTATGTTCCATTAGGAACGGAAAGGTCTAATAATAACATAATAGTATAATATGCAGATGACATAGTCCTGTTAGGTGAAGACACTGACAAGATGCAGAGTCTTCTGAATACTTTCAATGAAATTTGAGAATGTTCCAGATGCGCTTCTCATCACCCAAATGCAAATCGTTGCTTCACGATTCGTCTTCAACGGTGCCCCACCACGGCTAACAATAGAGTGAGTGTAATGGTTGGATGTGTTGACCACTTCACTTACCTAGGAAGCGGGATCAGTCCTGGTGCGTTGGTCAGTGAGTGGCCGATGAGATCTCGGCATGAATACAGAAAGGTGAATTGGCTTTTGACAACTGATGCGACATGTGGCGCCACCGTGATATCTGATTATCTGTTAAGGGTCGCGTGTACTGCACATGGACAACAGTTCGATCTGTTCTACTGTATGACTGTGAAACATGGCCATTGAAGGTGGAAGACATGAGAAGCCTGGCTGGGGCAGGTGTTTGACTACCGTTGTCTCCGTAGTATACGCTGTATTGTATGGGGTCATCACACACGTGAGTAATTCAGAAGTCAGTTATAAAGTTAGAGGTTAGTTGACACGGTTGTAAACCTTCATGGACTGAGATGGCTAACTGGGATATGTGTTAGGTATGTGTAGTGGCCGTCTTCCTCATCACACAATATTTGTCGAAGTAGGTTCAGACTGGAAAAAGGCTCTTTGCTCTGGAGTAGACTAAAACATGATATGAATGTATGAAGTGTTTGTTTGAGTGATGTAGGGTGGAGGCGATGTAGAGTAGGTGGTTGGGGTCTTTGGGACAAGAGAGACGAGTATTTGGAGACAGAGTGTATGTGGTGATATGGCTGAGAACCGATGTCAGTGGTACAGATTTAGCCCCACACGCTATACCGAATCTCATCATTCTCTCATTCGTTACTTGATGTATTGATATGAGGTGTGACAACTCGGACCATTAGGTGGTAATCCTTGGTCCTAGGTTGACTCAGATGCATAGATGACGTAATACTGTAATCAATCACTCAGAGAAAACATCACAACTAGAAACAAATCAATTTCATCCCAATGAACAGTTTAATAGAAGAAAGATTAAAATATGTTAAGCATAGTATAAAACTGTGAGTATTTCCCCCCTACTTTTTACACACATACATAACATGATTACAAAAACAATTTATACCCTATTAGATAACAAAATAATGAGAACTATTGGATAGATGATATAAGCAAGAACAGAAACAGGAGGGGGGAAATAAAAAAGGGCACTAATAATTATAAAGTATTCAAGCTATATTCACTTTTTCATATTATACGCCTGTTGTGAAGTAGTACCAACAGATGTTGTCGTCTTCTTAGCAATCACTTGACCTCGTAGAACACAATGACCAGCTAAAAAAGTTGGTATACCCAGAATAGTTAAATAGCCAAGAGTTGTAAACATATCCAGTCGACACCAATAGACAAAGTATAGATAACAAATAGCTGAAAAGACGAAAGAGTAGAAGAAAATTGTTTCGAATCAATTACTGTTCAATATATAACATGATAGAAATGATTATTTAGTCAAACGTTAATACTGACTGGAACAGGCTAGTTGGCTGGCTTCAAGAAGAACAAATTATGTCTGGATCAAATTGTAAAGCTATGCATCATCATAGAACAGAATAATAGAATGGCAGTCAACTGGATCTCTATCTCCACTTCATCGATTTTGAAAAGGCCTTTGACAGCATCAACCGAGAAGTAATTGGCCAGCTACTCCTTCAACACTACACAGTGAGTGCCACAATTCGTTATCAATCTCATTCAACAGCCATGTGAAGACGCCATATGCCAAGTCATCCACAATCGAAAGCTTAGTGATGCCTTCGAAGTGAAGTGAAGACAGGAGTAAGACAAGGCTGCCGCCTACTATCACCCATGATCTTCATGACTATGATCGACTGCACTGGATCATGCAGTAAACAGAGGTGATGAAGGTACCCAACCAACAACAACAACAACAAGCACTAATCATCATCAACAGGAGAAACATAAAGGAAGTTGTCTCTTTCACCTATCTAGTTTAGGCAACATCGTTTCAACTACAGGCGGCATACGCACAGATGGGGACGTCAAAGCTAGGATCGGAAAAGCAAGACAAACCTACCTTCATCAATCTGAAATAATCAGCATAAAGAACAAGATGTGGACTTTCAACACTAATGTCAGTCAAGTCAGTGCTTCTATGTGATGGTTCACATACTTGGCGTGTTACGAAAAACATTTCCAACAAACTAGAGACATTCATCAACAACTGCCGCCTACGCTGGCTCGTTACTGAAGATCAGATAACCAGAAACAATAAGCAACAAGGAACTCTGGCAAGGAACCAACAAACAACCCCCATCGCCCAACAAATATGCACTACAAGGAAGTGGAGATGGACTGGACGTACACTGAGAGGACTGTTTGGGGACATCACGCGTCAGACCAGGCTGTCCAGTGGAACCCGCATGCGAAACGATGATTTTGGCGTCCGACGGTGACATAAACGAGATGGTGTGAGGAAGAAATGAAAGCTGATAGGCAGTCGTGTAGCCAGGTTAAAAAGACTGCAGAGAAGAGAGTGAAATAGAGACGTGTTACCGAAGCCCTATGTTCCACTAGGAACCCAAGGGACAAATAATAATAATAATGTATTTTTGAGATGAATGGGGATTTTTAATTTAGAAGTAGTATTCATCATGGACTGACATCAGTTGGGGAACCATTGAAAATCTGCGAGCACTGGACAGCTGTTTCGTCCTAGTATGGGACTCCTCAGTCCATGATGAGTACTACTTCTAAATTAAAAATCCCCATTCATCTCAAAAATACATTACTCTATAGTGCTCTGCTCATTAGTGACTTGCTTCTAGATGGATGTTAGGAAGTTCTAATGGGAAGCCGTGACCTGTGGGGTCAACCAGCCGGAAGTGAAGTGGATGCTAACTGAAGACCTTGGATGACAGTCGCGCTATGTCGTGAATTGACAGAAGTTGAAAGTTGTGAACCATTGTAAACCGACTGACCGAGTGGCTGAATGGCTAATGTGTTCGCCGTGAAACCTGAAGGTCCTGAGTTCGACCTCTAGCCAGGTCGTGGGTGCGTACTGCTGAGGAGTCCCATACTAGGACGAAACAAGTGTCCAGCGCTCCCAGATTTCCAATGGTTCCCCAACTGATGTTAGTCCATGATGAATACTACTTCTAAATAATAATAATAATAATAATAATAATAATAATAATAATAATAATAATAATAATAATAATAACACTGATGGGACTTATATTGTTATAATCGTTAGAAATTTGTATATTGCTTGATGGTTGCAGTTACTTCCGGTTATCTAAACTAGGAAAGTTTATTTTTTGAAAGTACAAGTCAATCAACCAATCAATATCAACAGTCAGAAGAAACTTGAGTGCTGACAGAGTTGTGAGGGCAGTTGACACTTCCCGGCTGCCCACACCGTGGAAGGCTATTTCTTCTCAAGATACATGAAAGAGATTTGTGCGACCGTAGAGCCCATCGGATATATGCTTGAGGCCTATCACACGTAGTCTTTTGAGTATGATTATTTTGAACTTTTGTATTTTTGGGTCCGGATGGTCTAAAGGAAACGACAAATGAACCAACCCCACCAGCCCGGCAGATCGTGGGGTATGGTGGAGTGTTATTTTTGGGGCTGACTTTTTCTAACATCCCGTTCCCTTCCACTGAAAAGGCAGCATCAGCATCGCACTGCTGGTCATCCAAGGGAAACACCTTACTGCTGTCACACCCCATCCAGTTAACAGCAGTACGACTTTGCCCTCAGACCCGCATAATAGTGCAGCAATTTACACCGCACCGGTAACTGCTTTCTATCTAACCACTATCCAACAGACCTTTCTGGTATGGTAGGACCTCAAGGGAACAAGTATACCACCAACATACCTCGTTGGGTCATTGTGATGTGCAAGCCCGACCACCACGTCAAGGTAGCAGCTATCGGAATGTAACAATAGAGTTGTAGTCGATTGGGTCATGTAATAGACTCTTATTCATTAATTCATGAGATCGAACCCTGGTTTATGCACATATCATATGAATTAGCTGCTCCTCCTCCCCCCCACGTACAGTAATCAATGCGCAGAATGCTGTCAACTATCTTTAAAACCTGAATGAACATTTAGGAGAACCGATGAATACAAAAAGAAAGTCAATAAACTTACATATTAGACCAGCATGAAATATAATGTTGGACATTGAAAACTTGAAGTTGGACACATTGAAGCCGATAACCATCCACTGTGTAGAAATAAAGAGAAGAAATGAACTATATTATGTCTTAAACAAAAGAAACCTTGATGATAAAATGGATAAATCCGTTTTATTATTATTATGGTATAGTAAGGACACCAAGAAATGGGATACACAAAATAGCATAAGAACATTGCGTAGACATTAAGGAATGGGTAATGGATAAAAAGAGAAACAGAATAAGAAGAGAATGATGAGTAGAAGGGCATTTTAAGCCATATCTATTAACGTCACAAGCCACCGTCCATCTATCCATCCGACTCAATATAGGACCAGGCATTACCACCTAATGGTCCGAGTTGTCACACCTCTCATATCAGTACATCAAATAAATAGACAGTGAAGTGGAAGATGATGGAAAGAAAATTCAGTCAACGGGAAATATAAAGTAGTAAAATAGAGAAAGGAAGAATGAGAAAGTGGTGAGATTCGGTATAGCATGTGGGGATACATCTGCTCCACTGACATCGGTTCTCAGCCACATCACCACATACACTCTGTCTCCAATTACTCGTTTCTCTTGTCCCTCAGACCCCAACCACCTACTCTACATCGCCTCCACCCTACATCACTCAAACAAACACTCAAACACTTCATACATTCATATCATGTTTTAGTCTACTCCAGAGCAAAGAGCCTTTTTCCAGTCTGAACCTACTTCGACAAACATTGTGTGATGAGGAAGACGGCCACTACACATACCTAACACATATCCCAGTTAGCCATCTCAGTCCATGAAGGTTTACAACCGTATCAACTAACCTCTAACTTTATAACTGACTTCTGAATTACTCACATGGTGTGATGACCCCATGCAATACAGCCTATACTACGGAGACAACGGTAGTCAAACACCTGCCCCAGCCAGGCTTCTCATGTCTTCCACCTTTAATGGCCATGTTTCACAGTCATAGAGTAGAACAGATCGAACTGCTGTCCATGTGCAGTACACGCGACCCTTAACAGATAATCGGATATCAAGGTGGCACCACATGTGGCGTCAGTTGTCAAAAGCCAATCGAGCCTTTTGAATCCGTGCAGAGATTTCAAATAAGTAAGGAGGAAAAGAATAGACAATGCATAACCGAAGAGGATATTTACAACGTGAGTTTGCTTGCTCAATATACCAGTGAAACAGGATTTATTACTTGACTAAATTAGTGTAACTATAGACAAGAAACTGTGTCTAAAACGTCATGTGGTAAACAATACTGCAAGCCATTATTGATACTAATAGTACTACTACTGATAACCGAAATACGATATAAATGATTCAATTGAAAATGAACTCAGTAATCTTGTATACATCTATGCAACAGGGAATGAATTCACATCTATTATATAAAGGTAAATAATACTATCTAGTTGGAACGGGATTCGAACGAGTAACCCATAAACTAATGATCCATAGTTTTCTACTATTGTGTTACAAATTTGATCGATAAACAACAGTTAGAGTTGAACACTAAGGATCAGACATCTATATAGGTCAACGTTGGGAACATGAGTAGTAATTAAAACATAAGTTAGGCGTTAAAGATACTGTCTCCTTTATTAAGTGTTCATTAATGTGAGTGATCGATTAACACTTTCAATCAGTAAATTATGGAGTTGAAATCTTACTCCAGCTATCAAGGCTTGTTGCTCAGTGTACACACATAACTACAGTTGACTGCTGAGTTCCATTTCGTTCGTATCCTACTTCTCTCTGATTTAAAAATACTTTGAAGTATCACTGTACTTGGCCTGGTTAAAAGATCAACTTCATTGACTTGAACACATTCTACACAGGTGATTTCAGCTATGTGAGATAGTAGATATGACGTAAGTAATGATTGGAGGCGAAAGAAAAATTGAACAGCGATAGGGTTCGAACTAGAGACTATCCAGTTTTTAGCTCAATCTTTTAGCTATGAGGTTCAAGTAATGATATAGAAAAGGGATAGTGAAACTGGAACTTACAACAATCAACAATCCAAGAAGTGGTAATAAGCATAGAACAGTAAATGTAAGAGCTAAAATAACTGGAGCTCGTTTCTCTGGAGCACGGAATATGTGCTCAATTTCTAGCTTAGCTGTTGTAGGTCCAAATCCTATGATAGCATTAGGACTGAATGCACGTTTAGAAGCAGCTGGAGAAGATGATTGTTGACGTGAAATATCTGTAGCTTGAGCAATACGATGCTTAGTTTCTTGACCAGCTTCACCAACGAAATAAAGTTCTAAATTAAACTAGATTTAAAAAAATATTTAAAAAAAACAGCAATAATATGAATAAAATTATCATCATCATTATCAACATAGGACCAGGCATTACTGCGTAACGGTCCCCACTTGCCACACCTCATATCAGCACATCAAGTAAAAAGGTAGTGAGGTGAAGAATGAACATAAGTGAATGCAGTCAAAAGAAATATAAAGTACGAGAAGAAAGGAAAGAGGAGTGACAAAATGGTGAGATTCGGTATAGCGTTGTTTAGATGAGGATAATGTGTGTATACATCTGTGCCACTGACTTCGGTTCTCACCCATATCACCTAGGGTCTCCAACCACTGTTGGTTCCTCTTGTCCCACCGACCCCAACCACCTAGTCTGCATCGTGACCCCACATGGCCTAAACCAACAGTCAGAGACTTCATACATTGGTGTCATGTTTTAGTCTGGCCACCTCCACCCTTTTTCCAGCCTCGACCCACCTCAGCCAACATTGTGTGACGAGGCAATCGGTGACTAGGCATACGTAGTACGTGTCCCAACCATCTCAGTCGATGAAGGTTCACAACCTCGTCGACTGATTTACCTCTTCTCCCCAAAACTCTACACCTAACTTCTGCATTACTCACGTGGTGTGGTGACACCACGAAATGTGGCCTATACTACGAAGGCAACAATGGTCAAACACCTGAAGCCTTTTTGTATCCTCCACTTTCAATGGCCGTGTTTCACAGCCATAGAGTAGAACAGAGCGGACTGCTGTGCAGTACACGCGACCCTTAATAGACAAACGAATATCACGGCGGTGCCACAGATGGCATAAATTGGCAAAAACCAACCGAGCCTTTTGTATCCGTGCAGAAATTTCATCGGCAACTAACCCACCAGGGTTGATCCTACTTCCCAGGTAGGTGAAGTGGTCAACACACTCAACCACTTCTGAATTATAGGAAATTTTATATATATATATATATATATATATAGAGAGAGAGTAAAATATAATAACTTGATATTGGAAAATATACTTACCATATGCCAAATGAGTGGAGTTTTAATGAGTGAATCACCGACAAACAGTTCTGCTTTATATACTCCTGAAAGGTAATCGAATTCAGCTGCAGACACATCTGGATCCTGTATGTTGAATAAGAGAAAGAAAAAAAACGTTTAAACTGTCTGTAATGCTCATTCAAATGATCCAGAATATTATCCTCAGTGGAGGCATCATCAGTATAAACTTCAGAGATAGAAGTTAGATTGTCTTGTATATGATTGGTTGTTTCTGTCAAGGTCATGTGTCATTATCTCCATGTTTATTCTGATTGGTTATTTTGCTGACCTAGCGTCGATCGAGAAGTAATTTGGAAACTGCTTCATTACTACGGAGTACCGCAAACCTTTACCAGACTCATTCAACAACTATATGAAGACACCACATGACAAGTAATTCACAATGACAAGTTCAGTGACGCCTTTCGAGTGAAGTGAAAACAGGAGTGAAACAAGGTTGCTTACTATCCCCCATGATATTCCTGATTGTGGTCGACTGGACTGGATCATGCAGCAAACAGTGGGGAGCAGTGAGAAGAGGGGGATACGCTGCCTGGACTGAGGAAAAGAACCTAGAAGACTTGGATTTCGCCAACGATGACTTGTGCCTGATGTCACATAAACTTGAAGATCTACAGGCAAAAACTAACAAGCTGACAGAAGAGGCAGCGAAGATGGGACTTCAAGTGAATATAGAGAAGACAGAGGCGATGAAGACACCACACCAAAAACTCCAACAACAACAAACTCCAATCACCATCACCATCAACGGGAGAAACTAAAAGGAAGTAACCTCCTTCACCTATCTAGGAAGCACTGTTTCAACTACAGACGGCACAGACACAGACGAGGATGTAAAAGTCAGAATCGGAAAAGCAAGACAGGCGTTCATTAGCCTGAAACCAGTGTGGAGATCTTCTGCACTCAGCATGTGGAACAAGATATGGATTTTGAACACCAACATCAAGTCAGTGCTTCTGTGTGATGGTTGAGAGACTTGGCACGTTACGAAAGAGATTTCCAACAAACTACAGACATTCATCAACAACTGCTTACGCTGGCTCGCTACTGAAGATCAGATAGCCAGAATAATAAGGATAAGCAACAAGGAGCTCTGGTAACGAACCAACCCAGAACCTATCGCTCAACAAATATGCAGAAGGAAGTTGAGATGGATTGAATTGGCATACACTGAGAAGGCCGACTGGGGACATCATGCGTCAGGCCAGTCACTCGAGTGGAATCCCCATGGGAAGCGACGAGTTGGACGTTGGAGATGAGGGTGACATGTAGGAGATGATGTGAGGAAGAAATGAGAGCTTCTGGGCTGTCGTGGAACCAGGTTCAAAAGATCTCAGAGAACAGACGTCACTGGTAGACGGATGCAAACAGGATGACCAATCCTATCCAGGACAAACTAGTAAGCCATTCGTGGAGATGATGACGAGGAAAGCATCATCCAACTTAGAGAACATATCACACACCATCGAAATATTCTTTATCATGCCAACCTTAGTAAACTTTCTCTTTTTTTTTTATAGAATGAAACTGAAAAAAAGATTTCTAAGTTGTTAAAAAAAGTACTAACAGTTGATTGAGAAGAAAGTCAAGAAGAACGCTAATCATATTTTAGGATACATTAGGTTACAATATGCATATATCAATATTACTCTAATCACTTACAAGGAATAAATGATAACTTTTTTTACCGGATTGTTTATCTTCAATCATTTCAGTACAAATATAAGTGATAGACTGTAGGGTTTTTTCATGTGTAAGCTGAACAAAAACTTGATGTGCTGTCAATGAGTTGTTATCATTATCTGTAAGATGTATATCAATTGTTATCTGTTGGCCAATTTCTAAACTGATAGCACCAGTAACTGTTGACGCCTTATAGGTTACACCAGGTGTTAGGCTAAATTTCAAGAGAATAGCATATAAATTTTTTAAAAAAAAGTGTTTATATATGCAAAGCTTAAAAAAAGATTAATAAACAATCAAAAGAAGATTAATTTTATCAAGAAAACTGGGGAAATTTCAATCATCTAAAAGATAAATGTTATTATTCTATTCCTCAAGTTGATATTCACCATAGAATGATATCAGTTAGAGAAATATTGGAAATCTGAGAACAATGGACAAATAACTGTTTCGTACTAATATCAGGCTCTTCATCAGTGCACAACCATGATCCCACCTTCCAGAGATCGAACCCTTGACCTTCATGTTCTATGGCCAGAGCGTTACCATAGAGCCATACTGGGTCGGAATTTAATGGTCCTTATTCATTTTAAAAGTAAATCTGCGCACGACTCAATTTGTATAGCTCATATGATTCAAGAGCTTTCGATCGACCCCCTACTTCATCCATTTATGTATGACTTATTATTATTATAATTTATCCTTTGGGTTCTTAGTGCAACATAGGGCTTCAGTAGCACGTCTCCATTACACTCTCTTCTCTACAATCTTCAAAACCTGTCGCCATGACAGCCCACAAGCTCTCATTTCTTCCTCCATGTCATTCTCATCGCGGATGCCCAACTCGTCGTTCCCCATCTCAGTTCCGCTCGGTACCCTGGCTTGGCACGTGATGTCCCCAGTCGGCCTTCTCAGTGTATGCCAATTCAATCCATCTCCACTTCCTTCCACTGCATATTTGTTCAGTGATAGGTTCTTGCCTCGTTGGTTCGTTACCAGCCAAGCAGAGTTCCTCGTTGCTTATTCTTATTATTCTGACAATCCATCTGAGCTTCAGTATCGAGCCAGCGTAGGCAGTTATTGATGAATATCTGTACTTTGATGGAAATCCCTTTCGTAATGCGCCAAGTCTCTGAACCATATAGAAGCATTGACTTGACGTTGGTGTTGAAAATCCGGATATTGTTGACGCTTTATGCTGAGTGCAGTAGATGTCCACATTAGTTTCACGTTAATAAACGCCTGTCTTGTTGTCTTTCCGACCCTGGTTTTGACGTCCTCGTCTGTGCCATCTGCGGTTGAGACAGTGCTGTCTAGGTAGGTGAAACAGGCTACTTCCTTGAAGTTTCTCCCGTTGATGGCGATTGGTGCTTGTTGTTGTTGGTTGGGTATCTTCATCACCTTTGTCTTCTCTACGTTCACTTGAAGTCCCGTCTCCCTTCGCTGCTCTGCCATGCCTCTTCTGTCAACTTATTAGTTTTCGCCAGTAGATCTTCAAGCTTGTGTGACATTAGACACAAGTCATCATTGGCGAAATCTAAATCTTCGAGGTTTTTTCCGCGGTCCAGCGTATCTCCTTCTTCTCGCTCCTCACTGTTTGTTGCATGATCCAGTCCACTACAATCAGGAATATCATGGGTGATATTAGACAGCGTTGTTTTACTTCAGTCTCCACTTCAAAGGCAGTATGACTTATAGTTCGGAAATAATCAGTGCATTATTAGGTATTATCTTATTTTTTGGACTGAAATCAATTGGTTGTTCTACCTGTATAGATCATGATGTGATATAGACAGCTAGTTTAATGGTATACGCGGACAAATCAGATCGGTGGAAATAGATACTCATTTTGTGTTCTGTTATATGAGGTTGCAGGCGGGTGTCGAATCATGGGGCTCTACGGGTGGGTGGATTGATCGGAACATACCAGACTAGGCAAGTATATACGAGACCAATACGCTTAGCGTCAACACTGAACCGACAAAATTACAACCAGACAAGGTGATAGAATTACCTCGCGAATACAATACATATCTATATTTCCTTCCTGATGTCATGACTAAGGTGTCTGTGTGTGTGTGTGTTAATTTATTACATAATCACCTTATCTTGGTTAGCCTGTGAAAATACCCACCAACAATAAGTACTAAAAAGGAAGGAGCGGAATGCATAAACTGGATCGCCAAAACAAACAAACCAACAAAGAGAATCACGAAAGACAAGTTAAACCCACTCATCATAAATTAGCATCAACACACGTCCCATTTTACTCAAATAAGTCGATTATAATCGTACCTATGATGAGTAGAATATATTAGCCATGATGGGTTGGTCAGTGACCGATGAAAGCTCTCTACCAATACAAAAGGCCCCATTGGCTTGTACTAACTTACGCCATTCATGGCGACGCCATCATATTCAATTGTCTGTTGCACAGCAGTCCGCTCTGTTCCACTCTATGGCTATGAAACATGGCCATTGAAGATGGAAGACATGAGAAGGCTTCAAGTGTTTGACCACCGTTGTCTTCGTAGTATAGGCTGTATTCCGTAGTGCCACCACATCATGTGAGTAACGCAGAAGTCAAGTGTATAGTTTTAGGTAGGGAGAAGAGGTAAATTAGTTGACACGGTTGTGAACCTTCATCGACTGAGATGGCTGGCTGGGACATGGTGTTACATGTATCTAGCCATCGTCTGCCTCGTCACACAATATTGGCAGAAGTAGATTCGGACTGGAAAAAAGCCCCAGGTGGCCAGAGTAAAACATGACATAAATGTATGAAGTGTTTGACTGTTGGCTTGAGGCATGTAGGACGATACAGACTAGCCCGTTGAGGTCTGCAGGATTGACTCTAGGTGGTGATATGGCTGAGAACCGATGTCAGTGGCGCAGATATATCCCCACACACATTATCTTTATCCCGATCTCATCATTTTCTCACCTTTTCTTACCTCTCTTTTACTTCTTTCTACTCCTTTTGACCGAGTTTTCTTCCTTCTTCATCAGCCATGTGTATTACCTTGTTACTAGATATAATGATATGAGGTGAAATGTGGCAACTTGGACCGTTGTCGTTAATTAACTTGTACAAATACAAATGAATCAGATCGCCTAAAATGTAACATGGACAATAACCATACCAGACTTTATGTTCTGTTAGACATGATTACAGAGAAGGGTAGAATTGCCTAGCTTATTATGTGGGTGAATTGAATGTAGGAGACTAGGCAAGTATAGCTAAGATAAGTTTTAAGATTGAATCAGAAGAATCACCTGCTTAAGACATTTAACAACTAGACGAGTGACATAACAAATCGACAAAAAGGTTATTTCAGGCAAATAACAATTGAAGAGACAAGTGGATAACTAACTGTGCTTATAGGCAGGTATACAAAAAGTGTAGGTAAGTAGAGTTAATCGTATATCACAGACTGAGTTATAAACTTACGACCTAGATAGTTACACTTCAATCATTGCTCGAGTTTCTACAGATATATGTCTGCTCTTAAGAGGCAGGAATTCACTTGATGAACAGATAGACAAACAGATGGAATCAATGCGGAACCGTGAACTCAAGTACCTCACTTCAAGTTGTCACATTTCACAATTGTAGCAAAAAAATAACAGCTGGATAGAAAAAGAGTGATATCAAGGTAGAGAAAGTTGTGTGAGAGAGTACACATTGTCATCATCATCATCATCGTCAAAATCAACATACGACTAGGGATTACTGCGTAAGGAATAGTGACAAAATGGTAAGATTCGGTATAAAGTCGTTAAAATGAAGATAATGTGTGTGGGGCTACATCTGCACCACTGACATCGGTTCTCAGCCACATCACCACATACACTCTGTCTCCAATTACTCGTTTCTCTTGTCCCTCAGACCCCAACCACCTAGTCTACATCGCCTCCACCCTACATCACTCAAACAAACACTTCATACATTCATATCATGTTTTAGTCTGCTCCAGAGCAAAGAGCCTTTTTCTAGCCCCAACCTACTTCGACAAACACTGTGTGATGAGGAAGACCGCCACTACACATACCTAACGCATGTCCCAGTTAGCCACCTCAGTCCATGAAGGTTTACAACCGTATCAACTAACCTCTAACTTTATAACTGACTTCTGAATTACTCACGTGATGTGATGACCCCATACAATACAGTCTATACTACGGAGACAACGCTAGTCAAACACTTGCCCCAGCCAGGCTTCTCATGTCTTCCACCTTCAATGGACATGTTTCACAGTCATACAGTAGAACAGATCGAACTGCTATCCATGTGCAATACACGCGACCATTAACAGATAATCGGATATCAAGGTGGCGCCACATGTCGCGTCAGTTGTCAAAAGCCAATTCACCTTTCTGTATTCATGCCGAGATCTCATCGGCCACTCACTGACCAACGCACCAGGACTGATCCCACTTCCTAGGTAAGTGAAATGGTCAACACATCCAACCACTACACTCACTCTGTTGTTAGCCGTGGTGGGGCACCGATGAAGACGAATCGTGGAGCAACGATTCGCATTTGGGTGATGAGAAGCGCATCTGGAACATTCTCAAATTTCCATTGAAAGTGTTCAGAAGACTCTGCATCTTGTCAGTGTCTTCACCTAACAGGACTATGTCATCTGCATATTCTAGGTCTAATGAAAATTCTCCTTTGATTAAGTCAACGTTTGTGTAATCAGGTGACGAGAGGAAGACCTCCATGAGAATATGCACATTATCAAGCTTTAGAAGACGTCTAGGAGTGAATACACCTCGGCCATTGAGACCGACTTCTAATCATATCACCAAGAGTCCTCAACCACTGACGTTAGTCAGATAGTCGACAACTCCTTACACTGCTCCGACCAATAATCAGAGATTTCACCAACTGGTGCCATGTCTCAGGCTGGTCACCCTGAACGCTCTTCCAGCTCAATAAATTTTTCCCCTAGCACATTGAGATAGACGGTAAATCAGCATACCCAACACATATCCAAGCCATCAGACAGCAGACTCCTCCACCTTGCCTAATACCCTTCGCCTGATTTAAACACTACTCACACGGTGACTCCACAAAACACAAGCAATGCTCCAAAGACATGTATGATTAAAACACTATGATCAGTTCATTCCTTCAACTTTTAACGACTATGTCTCATAACTGTACAACAGAACAAAACGAAATGTGCAGCAGTATACACGTTCTCGCTAGTCGACTACTCCACAGATGATGCAAGTTGGTACATGCTAAATGGGCCTTCTATATCGGAGCTTAGATTCCGTCAGCCATCAGCCATTCGGCGGGCTGATACAACTTCCCAAGTAAGTGAAATGGTCGACACTCTAATCTAACATGAGTTTTTTTGAAAATTAAATTTTGTCACCTAATGTTTAGAATAAAAAGATTTCAAGTTGATATTCATCATGGAATGACATCAGTAAGAGAAACATTGGAAACCTGAAAGCACTGAACAGCTAACTGTTTCATTCTAGTATACGACTCCTGAACAGTGTACACCCATGACCCCCCACCCTCCAGAGATTGAACCCAAGACTCTCAGGTTTTGCAGCCAGCACGTTACCATTGACCCACTGGGTCAATATTCAATGGCTCACGTTTGAAAGTTGAAATAAAAGAAACTGGAATAGTAGGCTTAAGTCTTTTATATGGTGGTGGGGGGGGGAGGGAGGGAGGGTTATAGGTGCTTTTTTTCAACTTGATCAATAGACATTACTCTCGATAACAGTCGTTGAAATTATTCTAAAAGGTTATAATGTTGTTAGTACCTTTCTTTCTGTTAAATTGAATTGCTTATAACAACACTTATTCCTTGAGGTCATATTATGCATGCGCTAAGAGGGTCACAGTTGAAAAGCGATGAGATTAAAAGTAATCGGAAGTAGTATTCATTATGGACTGACATCAGTTGGGGAACCATTGGAAATCTGGGAGCACTGGACACTTGTTTCATCCAACTAGTATGGGACTCCTTAGCAGTACGCACCCACGACCCCACCGGACAGGGATCGAACTCAGGACCTTCAGGTTTCACAGCGAACCCATTAACCATTCAGTTACTGGGTCGGTTTCCAGTGGTTCACAATTTCCAACTTCTGTCAATTCACGACATAGCGTATTTATCACATAAGGTCTTCAGTTAGCATCCACTTTACTTCTGGTTTGGTTGACCCCACAGGTCATGGCTTCTCATTACACCTTCCTAATATCCATCTGGAAGAAAGTCACTAATGAGCACTATACAGTAATGTATTTTTGAGATGAATGGGGATTTCTTTTAAAATTTAGAAGTAGTATTCATCATGGTGTCAGTAATCAATTTTAGAACTAAAACAATACATACTACTAACAGATTTAAAAAAGAAATCTGGCGTTATATTGACACCAATAAGTTGTTGTTGGCTTTTATATTGTTCACTGGAGGTTGGATAAACTATCGATTCACATTTCTCTACAGAATCTCACTGTTCAAAGTAAAAACAACTTTAAACCAATCAAATCTAAACTGATCATTTCTAAAAGTATCGAATAATAGCTGAACAATGGAGATGGATTGGGCATATATTGAGAAAACTATTCGGAGACATTACGTACCAAGGCGAGGCCGTCGAGTCGAAGTCAAATGAGAAACAAAGAGTTGGGCATCCGAGGGTGACATGGAGGAGATCATGTAAGGAAGAAATGAAAGCTGATGGGTAGTCGTGAAGCCAGGTTAAGAAGACTGCACAGAATAGAGTGAAGCGCCCTATGTTCCACTAGGAAGCCAACGCACAAATAATTATAATACAGTTGAACTGATGTTCATGTGAACTGCATGATCTCGCTAAACAAATACACCAAACTATCAATGATAACAACGAAATTGAGTTATCTTGGTTGTATTGTGTTCTCCAAGGAGAGGGTTGTTTAATCGTCGTGAAGCTTTCATCGTCTTGCTAGACGGCAACATCATCACCACTAACCTCATACTAAAGTGAGCTGTCAACATCTCTATGTCAGTGATTTAGTGGCTTACATTGACGATGTGGCCTCTGATTGGTTGTTTCCTTCGATTGTTGTGTCATTCACTGACTCCATGACTGACTCCTCTTGGCTATTCCTCTGCTTCACTCTCACCTTTTTGTCGTTTATCATTTTTCTCATTGATTGATAGATTGCGGTTTATGTCGATACATCTCCCTTGATTGCTGACTGACTTAACTGAATGCCAAGCTTCTAGGAATTCTCTCATCATATTCTTTGTCTTTCCTATCTCCGTTCTACATTATCAAAATTCAATTCATGTCCATAGTTGTTATCCATGTGCATTGAAGTGAGTGACGAAATGTCGTGGCATTTAATAGCCAGTCGGTGTTCATGAAGACGAAGGCGAAGGTGGGGCGACCACTCTCTCCAATGTAGTGTTGACTACAGTTATTCCAGTTGATTTTGGTAGTGATATTCGGTTCGTCTTCTGTGGTTGTCGCATCCTTTGGTTTGCATAATTGTCTTCGGAGGGAATTTGTTGGTTTATCAGTGGCCACAACAACTCCAAGTGGTCTCATTAATCTGGTTGTGATTTCTGATATATTCCTCATGTATAATAGGATGATGTGTTTATTGATTTCTGTCGATGACTTTGTAGTTGCTGATGTATGCGATAGGCATCTTCTGATAAAGTTTCGTCGGTAGCCGTTCTTCTTTGGGGTGCACATCAACTAATTTTTCTTCGTCTCTCCGTCAAGTTGTTCTACTGTAGTGTACTCTCGCTCTTTTGAATAGAGTCTGCACGCAACTAATTTTGCGCGTTGTTTGGTTGTTACCACCATAGTTAGAGATTTGATGTGTGCATCGGTTTTCTGTACACTTGGGTTTTCAGCTTACTGACTAAAACATCCAGGAATGGTAGTTGGTTGTTTGACTCTTTCTCCATTGTTAATTTGATGTCATTGAAAAACGTTGTTCATCAAACTGTGGATGTTTTCTATATCATCTTGTTGAATGATGACAAAAGTGTTGTCCACATAGGAAATCCAAATCACTCACTGAGAGATATTGACAGCTCACTTCATACTGAAGTTAGTGCTAATGATGTCGCTGTCTAGCAAGACGATGAAAGCTTCATGACCATTAAATAACCCCTCTCCTCAGAGAACACAATACAACCAAGACCATTCACCACCACCATCTCCACTATTTCAAAATTATACGAGCGTAACACGCTTCACGTTGTTCGGAGATGGGAGAAGAACTTCTTCAAAAGGCAAGCTTCTACAAAAGAACAACTATTCTTTCTACATGAGTGTCTAGGTCAGTATGTTCTACCGAAGAGTGTCGGAGACATAGACCAACGGATTAACTGTCGAATAAGATGAAAAATCACAATTAAATAACCCCTCTCCTCAGAGAACACAATACAACCAAGACCATTCACCACCACCATCTCCACTATTTCAAATTATACGAGTGTAACACGCTTCACGTTGTTCGAAGATGGGAGAAGAACTTCTTCAAAAGGCAAGCTTCTACAAAAGAACAACTATTCTTTCTACATGAGTGTCTAGGTCAGTATGTTCTACCGAAGAGTGTCGGAGACATAGACCAACGGATTAACTGTCGAATAAGATGAAAAATCACAATTAAATAACCCCTCTCCTCAGAGAACACAATACAACCAAGACCATTCACCACCACCATCTCCACTATTTCAAAATTATACGAGTGTAACACGCTTCACGTTGTTCGAAGATGGGAGAAGAACTTCTTCAAAAGGCAAGCTTCTACAAAAGAACAACTATTCTTTCTACATGAGTGTCTAGGTCAGTATGTTCTACCGAAGAGTGTCGGAGACATAGACCAACGGATTAACTGTCGAATGGGATGAAAAATCACAATTAAATAACCCCTCTCCTCAGAGAACACAATACAACCAAGACAATCGACTTGAGCTACAAATATTGTCCACTCTTTCAAAATTGAATTAACATATGTGCTGGGGGTTAATCATTAACCCAATGTGTAAGAAGTCAAGTTTTACAAGTTTTTACCTGATATCTGAAATATGACGTTCATGTGAATTATCTTGTAGAGTAACAGTAATTTTAGAAATTTTCACATCTGTTACCACACGTATAGGAACCTACAAAAAGAAAATCATACATAAACCAACATTAATAAACATGCCTATATATAAACAACACTATGTATACGTAGAGCTTCACATATAAATCACGTCAAAAATTATGTAATATTGTAGCGATAAAACTGAAACGCTACAAAAAGACGGAGTATAATATTATTAATACAGTTTTGCTTAGTGTTAACAAAGAACTTGTTATATTAATGATGAACAGGGGCTAGCAGTTGAATCCACGACGCCCTTGCCTCCTAGTGACTGTTGTTTCTACCAAGGCTTGAACTGTGCATCAATCACATCACTCACTAGGAAACAAGTATATCTGGCTGATGAGTCCTAAGTAGACGAAATGCCTATCCTAGATCGCATTGTTAACTACGATTCATTATCAACATCAGATTTGAAAATACTGGTAATAATAAGGCACTTACACAGGAGCCTATGTACCAATAGTCGTCGATCAATTCAGTTCAATCAGCGACGGAGATTCACAAGCCAAACACATTGAAGAACTTATAGTTTGAATATATTTGACTTGGAACTGTTCACTTATACTCATTAGTCTAGGCATTCCGACTGATGAATCTTGGGTTCGAACCCAGCCCCACCCCAATGAGGTGGGGCTCCCCAACAATAACATATGTAACCCATTGCTTACTACACCACTTTCCAGTTGTACCATTGAAAATTGAAAATATAAATAACATCGAATTGTTAAAATGACTACAAGTTTACACACCTACTGAGTCACTCGACAGAAACAGTTACATACACTAGTTCAATCTTAAGTAGTTTCGAACTAGTATTAAACAATAGACACCAGGGTGGCCAGACTAAAACAAACATGGTATCAATGGATGAAGTGCTTGACTGTTTGTTCAAGTCAATGTAGGCTAGCCGATTGAGGTCCATAGGATAAGGATAAGGGGAACCAGTAAGCGGAGACTCTAGGTGACGATATGGCTCAGAATCGATGTCAGTCATGCTATACTTAATTTTATCATTTTCTCCTTCCTCTCTTTTATTACTTTCTACTCCTTTTGATTGATTTTTTTCCCCTTCTTCATCATCCATTTCATTGCCTTGTTACTACTCGATGTGGTAACTTGAACCATTGTTACACAGTAATGCATGGTCTTAAATGTTGATGATAACAACAAGCATTTGAAATCAGTTTAAATATACATCACCGTTTATCGTTCAATTTCGAGTAGTATCATGTTAGTGTATTATTAGATGAGAATCAGTTGATAGGCGGAAAATTCACTTGCTTTTATGATTGAATGTAGCTTAACAATTTAATTGCGAGACATCTACTTAATAGGTAGACTTGCATTTCATGTATGTAAGAGTCGGTGGTACTACGTACGACCGATAGTTGATATCTTGATGTAGTGGTTGGTCTTACATATGAAAATAATCCAACAAGTTCTACACTGGCTAGAACTCTTTTTCCCTCAAGGTCCTTGATAGTGGTAAGGCAGAAAGCAGTTACTGTCATAGTGTACATGTTTACGCTATGATGGGGATTCTAAGGTGAAATCCTACTGTTGATTGGATGAGGTATGACAGCAGTAAGGCCAGTAGTGTAACACTGATCTGTCTTCATTATGGGAAAAGGCTGTAGAAAACGTCGACTTGAAAAATAGCACACTCTTGTTTATCCCATGAAATACTGGTGCCGGCGATATGAGTTCATAGTCGAAACTAATAAACTAGACCCTCAAACTTCTAAAAAGGTCGTGTAACCAGCCTCAAGTAGATATCTCTTGGGTTCCACGAGCATACAATCACTTTTCTTTGTCAGGTACCTCAAGGAGAACTAACCTTTAAGGCTGTGAGTAGCAGCGAGGTATCGACCACAATATACTCCCAGTATTGTACAAAACTCATAAACACAATTTACCTTCCTTATCTTCATCTTCTTATCACCTTCACTTCCCTATGCCAATATTAAACCTCTTGCAGCTTCCTTAACCTCTCATTCTGCTACATTTGCCAACGATCTAAGCCAGAAAAATACAATTCCTGGTTTCATAATACCCTACGTCGGTTCCGGTAGTGGAACTGTCAACATTTGAACCTTATGCCAAATCAGATGGCAAGCATAGCTCTCCACAACTCTCAAAGAATCTTGAGGTATGCATATATGCTGTGTCTCTGAAACACGTATACGGAACTCGGGTATGATTCTTCACTTGACCACTGAAGGCCTTGGGTGATAGTTGCCCTATATATCATGATTTAACAGAAGTAAACAATAGTGGCATAACGCCTGATGACAGCTAACTGAAAATAATATTGTTCACTTATATCCAAACTGATTAATAATATATCTCACCTGGACATTATTAACTCCCAAAAGTTTACGATGATCATTAGCCTTTTTACTGACTACAGTTATTTCCAATCCATAATTCCCTGATAAGATTGAAACAGTTTTGGTATCGGAAATCAATGAAAGTTGAAATATATTGCTGAAAATTAAAAATTATATAACAAATTTATTATTCTCTAAAGAAATGATACAACAGTATGAATAGTACAATTTCATTTTAAATTTTGAGGGAGTTGTGAAGATTTTGGAATTATTTCAAGTTGTTATTCATCGTAGACTGACTGACATCAGTTGGAGGAACAAAGGAAACCTGGGAGCACTGGACAACTGTTTCGTCCTAGTATGGGACTCCTCAGCAGTGCGCACCCACGACCTCACCAGCAGGGACCGAACCCGCGACCTTCAGGTTCCGCGGCCAGCGCGTTACCATTGAGCCACTCAGCGATGACATTGGGTGGCGGTTGCGCTATATATCGTGAGCTAACAGAAGTTGGGAATATGGAGCATTGGAATCTGACCCGGTGGCTCAATGGTAACGCGCTGGCCGCGGAACCTGAAGGTTGCGGGTTCGGTCCCTGCTAGTGAGGTCGTGGGTGCGCACTGCTGAGGAGTCCCATACTAGGACGAAACAGCTGTCCAGTGCTCCCAGGTTTCCTTTGTTCCTCCAACTGATGTCAGTCAGTCTACGATGAATAAGAACTTGAAATTTCATTTTAATAAAAAATGGATATGTGTTTATGGAATCCACGAGTATCCATGTGTCACTTTTAAAGCATTGATGGGGATGTCTGATCCCTAAGAAGCTAACTTGTATTATGTACATAGTTTCATAGTAAAATTCAAACCTTATTTTGCGCTTTTTTCGTTTCATGACAGCATTATTATTTTTATTATTTGTCCCTTAGGTTTTGTAGTAGAATATTTCGTCCATTTCTTCCTTACACCATCTCTTCCATGTCACCCTCGCCTCGGACATCCAACACGTCCTTCACCATTTGGGTTCCACTCGACGGCGTGATGTCTCTAAACGGTCTTCTCAGTGTATGCCAATTCAATCCATCTCCACTTCCTTCCAGTGCATATTTGTTCAGTGATAGGTTCTTGCTTCGTTGGTTCGTTGTCAGCCAGCCAGCCAGCGAGAGTTCCTCCTTGCTTATTCTTTCTGGCCATCCTATCTTCAGTATTGCACAAGCGTAGGCAGCAACTGTTCATGTATGATGTCTGCAGTTTATTGAAAATGCTTTACGTAACCCGCCAAGTCTCTCGACCATCACATAGAAGCACTAAACTTGACTACCTTACTGTTGAAAATCCGGATCTTGTTTCACACTTAATGCTGAGTACAGTGCAGTGAAGTAGATCTCCATACTGATTACTTCAGATGATTAATAAACGAAGGCCTGTCTTGCTGTCTTCCCGATCCTGGTTTTGACATGTTAATCTGTGCCTGTGCTGTCTCTATTTGAAACAATGCTGCCTACGTAGGTAAAAGAAACAACTTGTTTTAGATTTCTCCCGTTCATGGTGCTTGTTGTTGATGTTGTTGGTTGGGTATCTTCATCACCTCAGTCTTCCCTACGTTCACCTGAAGGAAGTCCCGTCTTCGCTGTCCATTCGCTGACTCTTTTGCCAACTTGTTATTTTTGGCCTGAACATCTTCGAGTTTGTGCAACATAAGACATAAATCATCATGGGTGAAATCCAAATCTTCTAGGGTCTTTTCATTGGTCAAACAGGCAGTGTATGCCAATCTTTTCACAGTTGTTTCTTGCATGATCCAGTCGACCACAATCACGAAGATGATCGGTGACAGTAGGCGGCAACCTTGTCTTACTCTTGTCTTCACTTCAAAGACATCACTGAGCTTCCCATTGTGAATCACTTGGCATGTAGCATCACCGTATAGCTGATGAATGAGGTTGATAAAGGTTTCTGACACACACACATTCTGTAGTGTTGAAGCAACAGCTGCTAAATTACTTGTCAGTTGACGCTATCGAAAGCCTTTCCAAAGTCGATGAAGTTGAGGTAGAGATCCAGTTGTCTGCCTTTCTATGCTCTATTCATTGATAATGATGCGTAGCATAGCTTTACAATTTGATCCACACATTATTTATTCTTCCTGAAACCAGCCAGCCAGTCAACTAGCCTGTTCTAGTCGTAATTTTGAATCCACAGCATTTTTTTTAGTCTCTCCAAGATGATGCGGCTTAATAATTTGCTTAGGGTGGATAGGAGCATGATTCCGAACCAGTTCTCGGAGAGACAACAAGTCTGTTTAAGATATTGAACGCTGATTGGTTCATTTTACACTTATATGTAGATGCTACAAAATAATGACTGACTATAGGTAATATTTAAATATATTACATACAGTTAATATGATAAAATTTTACTTTTTCTCATCTTGTTTGAACAATCCTCGATCAGATGATCCAACTAAGACCTGATCTTTGCCATTTTTCTTATCAGTAGTAAAGAGATCATTAGCTTTCAAATTGAATTCGCTTGATTTCAGATAAGCACCAGTCCAAAAATGCTTTAAGCGTAAACTTAAATTTGGATTTCTTCGATCGACTGTTACGACTGAAGGTAAAGTGTGACCTAAATCTTCAATGATTCCAACTGACGATTCAATTACAATAGGTAACTGAAAATAATTTGAATGATGAGTTAAATATGACAAGTAGGAATAAAGGAAGGAATATAATGAATTAGATATTATAGAAATGTTACTTGTAATTTCCTACTGCTATACAGGGCCAAATTGCTCTACATCTGGGCTTCTATGCGGATGCTTCAATACTGTCGGATATTCATGATCTTGATGACTAGCCGATGGATCCAAGATGCGCGTTTTGTCCTATGTGAGACTCATCAACTGGATGTGCTTGTAAGCCAAACGCTCTGGTGATTGAAGCGAACCTCTGTGGGAAAAGCATCATCAATCACTGGGGTGCAGGTGCATCCAACTGACGAGTTCCAAATAAGACGAGACGTGCCTCCTGGAATTATATGCTAGTCACTGCACACCAGTCCGCTCTGTTCTACTCTATGCCTGTGAAACATGGCCATTGAAAGTGGAGGATACAAAAAGGCTTCAGGTGTTTGACCACTGTTTCCTTCGTAGTATAGGACGTATTCCGTGGTGTCACCACACCACGTGAGTAATGCAGAAGTTAGGTGTAGAGTTTTGGGGAGAAGAGGTAAGTCAGTTGACGAGGTTGTGAACCTTCATCAACTGAGATGGTTGGGACACGTACTACGTATGCCTAGTCACCGATTGCCTCGTCACACAATGTTGGCTGAGGTGGGTCGAGGCTGGAAAAAGGCCTGAGGTGGCCAGACTAAAACATGACACCAATGTATGAAGTCTCTGACTGTTGGTTTAAGCCATGTGGGGTGACGATGTAGACTAGGTGGTTGGGGTCGGTGGGACAAGAGGAACCAACAGTGGTTGGAGACCCTAGGTGATATGGGTGAGAACCGAAGTCAGTGGCACAGATGTATACACACATTATCCTCATCTAAACAACGCTATACCGAATCTCACCATTTTGTCACTCCTCTTTCCTTTCTTCTCGTACTCCATATTTCTTTTGACTGCATTCACTTATCTTCATCCTTCACCTCACTACCTTTTTACTTGATGTGCTGATATGAGGTGTGGCAACTCGGACCGTTACGCAGTAATGCCTGGTCCTATGTTGATAATGATGATGATGACCAAGATGAATATAACATCGTTTTCAGATATTTTCTGGTTATTAAATATACTAACTTCTAAATCAATGTAGTGCATTGATGTCCAAAAGCGAAAAGCACTCAGCAACCTAGTGAACATTAGTGTGATAGTAGGCAATAGGCCACATCTGTTGGTTAGAGGTTATTGGTTATACTACTTGTCTGCTGCCCAAACCTCAGTAGGTGGAGGCTTGGTTCGAGTACATGACCCACTACTAGTGGAATGTCATCTCCTTAAACCTCTGAGCTACAGATACACGCATATACTTCCAGAAGAGTGTGGAAAGTAAGCAATAATAAGATCGAACCAGACAATCACTGAATACTTGGAAATCTTTATAAATGATAAATGAACTAAGGTAGAACCTGGATAAAAGCATGCCAACTGAAGTCGTCGCGCTTCATACTGATATAAGAACAGGTGGATAGAAAAAGAATGATATCAAAGTAGGAAAAAGTGTATAGAAGTAGAGACTAAGAAGAAAGAATTATGGTTAGAGAAAATATTCAAACTTTCGAAGGTGTGAAAGAGTGAATACCTCTATGCCCTTGTGACAGGTTTTCAACTATATCGTCAAGAGTCGCAAACCACAGATCCCTATCATCAACATTGAGGACTTCAGTCAAGCAGTCTACATCTCACTACATGGTTAAGACCAATAGTCATAGACTTCATGGACTGGTACTATGTCTTAGATTAACCCTCCCCCCCCCCCACTATTTAGCCTTGTTCCAATTCAATTCTGTTTCGGTTAAGTTAGCACGTCTATGTAGGGAAGGGGTGGTGGTTTGACATGCACAAGACTATCCAATCCACCTACGTCACTGAGGGTATACAACTCTATCGACTAAATTGCCCTTCTTGCCCAGTACCCTATGTCTAATCTCGATATTGCTTACATGGTGATACCACCGCACCCAAGTAATGCTATGAACACATAAGTGACCAAAACCCTGTAGCCTTATCAATTCTCCTACCGTTAATAAATAGTTTCTTAACCTTGTACATACTCGTTCTTTATTACATGGTCAGACATCTCGCCAGCATCAGAGGTGACGTAAGTCGGTAAGTGCCGAACGGATCTCCAAGCTAGTGAAGTGGTCAACACATTCCACCACTTCATTATTCATGCTTAAACTAAAGGTCGGTGCATACAGTCCAATCCTCAAGGTGCAAGCGATACATATACCAAACATACTCAGATTTTTGCTCAACAAACCTCATAAGATTCTGCATACCGTCACCCTCTTCGCCTAGCAGGACAATATTGTCTGCATACTCCATGTTAACCACATAACCTTCAGGGAGTAGATCAAACCCTGTGAACTCATTTTTACGTCTATAACAAGGTTAAATAGGAACGGTGACAGTAGGCATCCCTGGCGGACAACACTAGTTGTTATCAACTCACATGACAACTCTCCATAAGTTCTTACACAACTGTGAGTTCAAGTGGAGAGTTTTGATAAGCATGATATACTTGCTTGATACTCTCTTCACAGTTAGACAATGCTACAACACCTCATAGTCAATAGAGTCGAATGCCGCCTTCACTTCAACAATTATATCCAGCATCGGCCACTAGCTGCTAAGTATACATGTGTTCAAGGAATCGTGGAAGGGTAAAACTATGATCGATGCACCCTCGTCTATGTCTAAAACCTGTCTGGTTTCCTCTACTTCCAGCTAGGCATCGGATAACTATGGACCCTAAGATCTTCGACACAAGCTAATTCGCCCATGGTTATCACAAGAAAATTCCTCCCCCTTCTTATAAACTGGGATGATCAGTGAACCAGACCAATCTGATGGGACTACCTCTGATTCTCATACACTCCCTAGTAACTCCATCATTATAATTAGCAATTTCCTATTTCACTCTTTGAAAACTGTCAGGTTCTGCTGCTCTGCATAGTTTCAGGTTCGACACAGCCTTTTCAACTTCAAGGAGAGTTTGAGGACTGACATCTACGCGTCTTATTCAGGTCCAACTAGGTGCCTTCCTGAAAGTAAGTCCCCCTTATAAACACTACAGAACTACAAAAGAAGCTCAGAATATCATAACAGTTTAGTTATGAGGAAGCGGACATTATCACTAGTTCCTATACCTTAAATAATGTCCCACAGACTAATCAGTTAACAGACCTAAAGTGGTCGCTAAGTTCTTCATTTTACCACCTTAGTGGTGAAGACATCTGACCATCAACTATACGGTAATGGATTCAAATTCATCACAGCCTACTTCAACTGGAGCAACGACTTATTATCATTTACACTCATAATAACTATGACTTACAGTCTATCATGTTTTCTATAGAAAATATGGTTGAGTATATCTGATGAATTTCTGAGTTGTCCAAAGGACAGTGTACTAAACAGCCCCAAGTCCTGCCAACCACCACCTCTATACATGCAATCTAATAAGACTAGTTATATCCGTGAAGATATGGTTCATTGGTTTAGGAATTTTTAAACAATGGGATTCGCATTTCGCACTCTCCCCCGATGTAGGTTCAGGCTGGAAAAAGGCCCGAGGTGGCGAGACTAAAACATCCATGAAGTCTCTGACTGTTGGTTTGAGCTATGAAGGGCGGTATAGACTTGGTGGTTGGGGTCCCTGGGACAAGAGAAACCAATGATTGGAGACTGACTGCAGGTGATATGGATGAGAACCGATGTCAGTGGTGCAGATGTATACACACACACATTATCCTCATCTTAACGATGCTATACCGAATCTCACCATTCTCTCATTCTTCCTTTTGACTGAATTTTCTTTTCTTCACCTTCCACTTCACTGCCTTTCTACTTGATGTAGTGATATGAGGTGTGGCAACTCGGACCATTAAGTGGTAATATCTGGTCCTATGTTGATATTGATGATGACGACTCTCTCTCCCCCCCTTTCGCCTCTCTCATCTACTTCAGTCCAAGTGGCCCAGTTGAGCCAAATTTACAAGGCACACGGGGACTTTGTTAATGATACTTTTTTTCAAATAGTCATGATAGAATTCATACAAAAACATAGAAAATGATTAACCTCTCTATACAGTCATTTACTGAAGAAAAAAAAGGTCACTTGCAATCTAAACGGAAAAAAACAACTTACCATCACTGTACTATCAGCTAAGGATTTAAAAGCAGCAACCATATAGGCAGCAGCACGCGTATTCGTGGTCTGACGATAGGCGTACAGGTAATTGAATAACTTAACGAGTTTGTCCTATTAACACATATACACACACATACACAAAAAAAAAGAGAGACCGCATAAGAGCATTATATCACAGCAACAAGTAGAGCAACATTATTCAGTAGTGAATACAATATACTATACAAAAAGACGACTGAGATGTTCCTGAATAGTAGTAGTATAGTGATAGCTGCTCTTATAGGAAGCTATGTAAGTAGTATGTACAGAGGTATCGAAAGTTATATCGACTGACTGGTGAGGATTCGAGCAATGCTGGAGAGAAATATAAACGGTGAGGTGCAGAAGAAGAAATAGTTTGTAAATAGAAATCATATTGAAAGGTTGAGTAATTTTATCATTATTCATTGTATTTTCTTAACAACAACAACAAAAAAAAACTGTTGTTCCATTGAATTTCTCTTCATTGAATAGTGAACAATTTGTGAGTTTCACCACTAAACCTAAGTGGTCTTTATCCGCGCGTCCAGTGTTCGCAATTCTGAACTCCTGCATAGTCTGCATCCTATTCACTACGTCATCGAAACTCCATCAATAGCGGAGTCCTCAGAGTCACCTTCATCTCACCATACACTGCCTAGCTATTCACCTTCGACTTCAAGATCTCCAGCTTCTACTGTCGCTTGTTGAACCCCACAAACTTTACAGCTCTCTTGTATTTCTTTTAGAAACGTTTCGATATCTTTAACCTCAAATACTGCTGCTAAAGGTATCTTCAACAGGATAGCAGACATCAATGCGGAGAAGTCCAATGAAGCACCAGATATAGTTTACTGAGAAAATACAATGAATTTAATTTGGCGGTTTATGGGGATTTAGTGATTTGTCAAGTTCGCATCCATCATCGACTGATATCAGTTGGAGGGACATTAAAAACTTGAAAGCACTGGACAGCTAGATGTTTCATCCCGATATAGGACTCCACAGCAGTGAGCACCCGTGACAACTAAATCCCGACAAACCACGAAATTCAATTGATCTAATGCTTATTGGTGACTAGCTTTGAGAGGTGATTCTCAAAGTCTCAATAAGAAGTGGTAACCGGTGAAGCAAACTGGGTGGCCGTGAGGACAAATACTCAACAATAACATTGGGCGATGAACACGCTATATGGCGAACTGACTGAAGTTGGAAATATTGACCATGGGATTCCGACCCAGTGGCTAGCTCAATGGTAATATCCTGACCACGGAACCTGAAGGTCGTGGGTTCGAACCTTGGAGTAAGGGATCACGGGTGCGAATTGCTCAGGAGTTCCATACTCATATGATACAGTTGTCCAATGCCCCTAGATTCCCAACATTCCTGCCCTTTTGCATCTCATTCTTTATAATGTTCTCCCGCTGTATGCATTTCTATTCAACATTGTGTCGTCTTTTTGCCCGAATCCTCACTTTGGACGTTAATACATATACCCCATAGTAGTAGTGGGAATACGACTATCAACAGGAGAAACTTAAAGGAAGTAGCCTGTTTCACCTATCTAGGCAGCATCATTTCAACTACAGGCAGCGGCACAGACGACGATGTCAAAACCAGTCAGGATCGGAAAGACAGCAAGACAGGCCTTCTCGCATTAACCTAAAACCAGTATGGAGATCTTCCACACTCAGTATGTGGAACAACATCCAGATTTTCAACACTAATTCAGTCAAGTGAGTCAGTGCTTCTGTATGGCTCAGAGACTTGGCGCGTAACCAAAGGCATTTCCAACAAACTAAAGACATTCATCAACAACTATCACCTACACTGGCTCAATACTGAAGCTCAGATGGATTGTCAGAATAATAAGAATAAGCAACAAGAAACTCTGGCTAACTGGCTGACTGGCTGGCTGGTAACGAACCAACGAGGCGACAACCTATCACTGAACAAGTATGCAGTGGAAGGAAGTTGAGATGGATTGAATTAGCATACACTGAGAAGGCCGACTAGGGGGGACATCACGCGCCAGGCCAGGCACTCAAGTGGAACCTAGATGGGAAACGACGAGTTGGGCATCCGAAGTGAAGGCGACACATTGAGATGTTATGAGGAAGAAATGAGAGCTTGTGGGCTGTCGTGGTGACAGGTTTTGAAGATTGTAGAGAAGAGAGTGTAGTGGAGACGTGCTACTGAAGCCGTATGTTTCATTAGGAACCCAAGGGATAAATAATAATCAAATAATAATAATATCTATGTTGGTATACAAGAGAGACAAGATTTTAATGACAGATACACATATAATGATAAATTGTTTTCTTAATTTCGATAATATTTCTAGCAAAATGTCTACTCATTGCCACAATAAAAGTTGGAGTTTTATATCATTATGAGATTTTTTCACACCGGTTATATGTCTTTGAAGACATGAAGCGATCACATGTCTATGTAGCATAGCTTACGTTTGGTGGAATCATCATGTGAGCAATGTTGATGTCAGGCGAAGGATAGCAGACAAGAAAAGCAAGTCGATTGACAAGGTTGTGAACCTTATTCGACTAAGATGACTTGGATATGTGTTACACATGCCAAACCACCAACTACCTTGACGTACCATGCTAAGTGATGCTGAATTAGATTGAAAGACGGTTCAAAGTGGCTAGACCAAAATGTGGCACCAGTCGATCAAACCACTGACTGTTGGTCTGAATCGTGTGAGAAAATGTAGACATCCTGGTTGTTGTCAGTGCTTGAAGACTCTTGGTGACATGGTTGAGAATTGGTCGGTGACAATGGTGCAGATGTATTCACTCGCTGACATCTAAAAGTTTGAATATTTGCACTAACCTTAATCTTCAAAACTGCTTACTCTCTGTTCTTTGTATACTCCTGTGAATTGTAACAACTTGAGTCGATGCAGTTCTGAGCGAGGTTATAGGGTAGCATGGACAACTTATTGAGTTTCAAGGAGGAGAAGAAAGTCAGTTGATGCTTCCGAGTAGGCTGACACATGTGTTACGCCTGTCTAGTCACATGATTCCATATTCAATTTGTTTAGTTGATTAATATAACACAGAGTGACTGATACAGTATTACCTATTCACTTGATGACCACGTTTCCAGTATAAATTATCATTGCTCATAATCATATCTCAGTGTATGATCACACCACTTTCGATATCGTCTTTTTATAGTTATGTCACTTCATATGCTTTGCTTTTATTGGTAGTAAAATATTTCATATCTCTGGTATAGAGGTGCTGAGTTATTTCTATTACATATGCTGGGTGTTGGTTGATTCAATGGACAGGGGATTCAGTAATCAATCTCTCACTCCGCCGAATTATATATTGGACTTACATGGTACAGTGGCTTCATCTCACCTACCCTATTGTGTGGTTATGTACTGTTAGCGCGTGCATTACAATTGCCGACTGCTTTTCTAGGTTATTGACCTTACTCGGGTCTTTCATTCTATTATTATTATTATTATTATTAGATTATTATTTATCCCTTGGGTTCCTAATGAAACATACGGCTTCAGTAGCACGTCTCCACTACACTCTCTTCTCTACAATCTTCAAAACCTGTCACCACGACAGCCCACAAGCTCTCATTTCTTCCTCATAACATCTCCTCAATGTGTCACCCTCACCTCGGATGCCCAACTCGTCGTTTCCCCTTTGCATTCCACTCGGTACCCTGGCCTGGCGCGTGATGTCCCTCCCCAGTCGGCCTTCTCAGTGTATGCTAATTCAATCCATCTCCACTTCCTTCCACTGCATACTTGTTCAGTGATAGGTTGTCGCCTCGTTGGTTCGTTACCAGCCAGCCAGCTAGCCAGTCAGCCAGAGTTCCTTGTTGCTTATTCTTATTATTCTGACAATCCATCTGAGCTTCAGTATTGAGCCAGTGTAGGTGATAGTTGTTGATGAATGTCTTTAGTTTATTGGAAATGCCTTTGGTTACGCGCCAAGTCTCTGAGCCATACAGAAGCACTGACTCACTTGACTGAATTAGTGTTGAAAATCTGGATGTTGTTCCACATACTGAGTGTGGAAGATCTCCATACTGGTTTTAGATTAATGCGAGAAGGCCTGTCTTGCTGTCTTTCCGATCCTGACTGGCTTTGACATCTTCGTCTGTGACGCTGCCTAGATAGGTGAAAGAGGCTACTTTCTTTAGGTTTTTCCCGTTGATGGTGATTGGTGCTTGTTGTTGTTGGTTGGGTACCATCATCACCTCTGTCTTCTATACGTTCACTTGAAGTCCCATCTTCGCTGCCTCAATCCATGATAAATACCAACCTGAAATCAATAAATAAATCCTCACAAGCTTCCAAAATCAATAAACAATATACCCTTTGTTAAGCACTTTCATCATAGTACACAGTATCATTATCAATGATTAAAAAAAGCAGGAGTAATAAATAAGTAGTCACATACTAAAATTACCTCAATATTTTTGGGAACTTCACCGTATCCATTTAAGAATGTCACAATACCATTTGCTACCAATGATGTTGTATATAAACCTTTATCATACTGAAGACAAAGAAGAAATTATTCAAGTAAGCATAAATTCACCGATTTGATAAGTTTAAAATATATCGTATAAACAATTTGATAAGCTGGAATAAATAATAAGTCTATACTCTTTGTGGATTAAAAATTGGATTTCAGTGTTATTATACATAACAAACAGATTCAATACTTTACTTAGTACTATAGCATCACTTCATATACACATGTTAAAAGGTATTAATACCGATCAAAAAGGATACCTTCAGAAAAGTTTCTCATCATCATTATCACCATAGGACCAGGCATTACTACTGTGTAACGGTCCGAGTTGCCACACCTCATATCGCTGCATCAAGTAAACGGCAGTGAAGTGGAAGATAAAGAAAGGAAAGTTCAGTCAAAAGAAATATAAAGTAGTAAAAGAGAGAAAGGAAGAATGACAAAATGATGAGGTTCGGTACAGCATCGTTAAGATGAGGATAATGTGTGTATACATCTGCGCCACTGACATCGGTTCTGAGCCATATCACCACCTACAGTAAGTCTCCAACCACTGATTTCTCTTGTTCCACAGACCCCAACCGGCTAGTCTGCATCGCCACACATAGCTTAAACCAAAAGTCAAACACTTCATACATTATTGCCATGTTTTAGTCTGGCCATCTTGGACCTTTATCCAGCCTGAATCTACTTCGGTCAACATTGTGTGAGGAGGAAGACGGCCACTAGGCATACGTAACACGTGTCCCAACCATCTCAGTCGATGAAGGTTCTCCCTCCCTAAGACTCTACACCTCAATTCTGCATTATACACGTGGTGTGGTGACACCACCGAATACGGCCTATATTACGAAGGTGGCGGTCGTCAAACGCCAGAAGTTTTCTCATATCTTTCATCTTCAATAGTCATGTTTCACAGCCATACAGTAGAACAGAGGGGACTGCTGTGCAGTACACGCGACCCTTAACGGAAAATCGTTGAGTCATTGTGATATGCAAGCCCAACTACTACGTCGAGGTAGCAGCTATCTGTCGGGAGAGGAATTTCTATTGCTTTTCAATTTCTCTCGCTAGCTTAAAAAATGTTTGGGTATAACTATTTAACATCTTATGCAATTCAGTTGTGTAATCGTTAAGACGTCAGACACAAATCAAGATACATCAGTAGACATTTAACCCGTAGATATCTTGTCCATATCAATTGTGGCATCGCATTCTTAAACGGTTCAAGTAATCTGATAAACACTTATTATAAAGCCTATAAGCAGTCATTTCTCGTTAACTATTATATTAGACCGAAGTGATTGGTCATTATTAGCATATAAACTCCCTAAGTTGGTGCCTAGATATTGTCCCAAAATGCAGGCAAGTTGACAGACAGGAAAAACCTCCGACACAACCGAATCGGCTCAAGTTACTACACTTTATAGTAGGATAAAAAGAACAAATGCATGGATAAAGAGTGACATCAAAGAGGATGAAGTTGTGTGAGACAATAAATAATTTGAACATAAAAGTTAGTGCAAATATTCAAACTTTAGATGTCAGCTAGTGAATACATCTGCACCATTGTCACCGACCAATTCTCAACCATGTCACCAAGATTCTTCAAGCACTGACAACAACCAGGATGTCTACATTTTCTCACACGATTCACACCAACAGTCAGTGGTTTGATCGATTGGTGCCACATTTTGGTCTAGCCACTTTGAACCGTCTTTCAATCTAATTCAGCATCACTTAGCATGGTACGTCAATGTAGTCGGTGGTTTGGCATGTGTAACACATATCCAAGTCATCTTAGTCGAGTAAGGTTCACAACCTTGTCAATCGACTTGCTTTTCTTGTCTGCTATCCTTCGCCTGACGTCAACATTGCTCACATGATGATTCCACCAAACGCGAACAGTACTACGGGGATACCTGTGGTTGAAACCCTGCAACGGCTTCATTTCTTCTACTTCTAACGGCCATGCCTCTCAGCCGTACAACAGGACAGAACACACTGCGGTGCAGTATACTTGTCCTTGGATAGATAGTCGGATATCTCGCCAGTTGGCGCCACAGATGACGCAAGTTGGTAAATGTCGAACTGGCCTTCTGTATCCAAGCTGAGATTTCGTCAGCCACCAGCCTGTTTGGGATGAAGCAAATCTCGAAGAAATTGAAGTGACCAACACATTCCACCACTTCACTTCATATTGTTTAACTTGGAGTAGTTGCAGGTCAGTCTTGAAGCATCATTTTACATTTGGCAAGTGTGGGCGAAACGCATACCAAACATACTCAGATTTCTGCTCAATGAACTCATAAGATTCTGCATACCGTCACCCTCTTCGCCTAGCAGGACAATATTGTCTGCATACTCCATGTCAAACTAGATGACCTCCAGGGAGTAGACCAAACCCTGTGCAATCAGACGTACCTAAGGTTATGCTCATTTGTACGTCTATAACATGGTTAAATAGGAACGGTGAGGGCGGGCATCTCTGGCGGACAACTCAAATGACAACTCTCCACAAGCTCTTACACGGCTACATGGGTTCGAGGAGATAGCTTTGATAAACATCATATACTTGCTTGGTTTTTCTTTCATAGTCAGACACTGCTACAACATTCCATAGTCGACAGAGTTGAATGCCGCCTTCAGTTCAACAATTATATCAAGCACCGGTCACTGGCCGCTAGGTATTTCTGTGTTCCAGAACCCTATTGGAGGGTGAAAAATCTGATTGATGCACCTTTAATTAGGTCTGAAACCTGTCTGGTTATCTCAAGTTTGTTATTGTTGAGCTCAAGTTAGGTGTCAGATAACTAGGAATCCAAGATGCAAGCAGGTATATCTAGGTTAAGAGTCCTAAATAGGATGAAAAACGCACCTTAGATTTCACTTCTAGCCATCATCGAGTAAATAATATTTCGAATTTTATTATAATGTAGTCAATAATAATCGACAAGTAAGTCCCATAGAATGATTACATACCAGATGGAAAGTATTAACACTATGAGAAAATACTTTTTCTGAGTTTAACTTTCTCAATTCTCTTACACTACTGTAACATCTATTTTTCGACTTGTCGTTTGTGAATAAGAAATTTCAGGGTATATTTTCAGTAAGTGAAGAGATAAAAAAAAAACTTACAAACAGTTGAATACCACTTATTTCATCCGCTTGATCCAAAACATCATTAATACTTGATATGTAACCACTTAGAACTGATTTGGTCAATCCAAGTTGTGATAAGATTTGAAGAATAAAAGCTGTCCTGAAAATTGCAACATTACAAAATTCTTAAAGTTTACAATTATTAAAAATAACACAAGAAAGATATTTCAATTGTTAAGCAGAAAAAAACATCATTTTATTGTGTCAAATGTTACCAAAAAGTTGAAATACAAGTTAAAAGTACATAATAAAATGAAGAAAAAGTTGTAGAAGTAAGCGCTATCTTCACCAATTTTAGTAAGAAACAGTATACACATCAAATTGAAACGTACTTAGAAAGCTTTTGCACATTCATGAAGTAGACAATGAATGCTAATAACACTATTTGGCTGTCCAAACCTCGGTAGGTAGACCGGGGTGTTCGAACCCGTTTGTATCCTAATGTATACTAATACCTGACTGGCTATAATAAACTTACCTCAAAAAACATGATGAATATGATACGAAGAAGATACAAAAGAGTATACTCAATGTAAATATCTACACCAATATTACCACCACTATGTAAGAGAAATTACTGTGTCTAAAGAAACTGAAACGTAACCGCTGCAGCAAAATTCTCATAACTTATAAACAAAATGTAGGGAATATGATGGAATAGAGGAGCATTCACTGGTAAAACCTCATGGAGTGATCAATATTTAAAAATTAAGATGCTGATGAATAGTCAACAAGCTATTTTTAAAAGGGTGTGTTTAGTAAATAGTAGATCGTGGTTTTGAAACCTACTTCATCTTCTACTATTTCCCCCAAAACCTTTAAATAACTCTCTAATTAACATACAGCTAATATTGGATTTCTTCTACACAAAATGAGATGTTATCAGGTACATGCTAACAAAGGTAAATAGTTACATTAATACTTGTGGACAAATAGATGTTAACTCATATATAGTTAGTTACCTAGGTGTAAAATAAAGACTTTTGAGGGAAATTAAGCAAAAAATATCTTCAAAGCACTTTTAAGTTATGATATATTACACCCCTTAAACAAAAACACTAGTTTTTAACCTCTAAGACATGGATGGTTATGTTAGGAGAGTGTAGTTCAAATATTTTTATCCCTCCCATTTTTTTCATTCCCTGTAAACGCTTGAAAGCAATGCACAGAGATAGTAAATTAATGAAAATTTCAGACAAATTCGAGTTAGTTACAAAATAATCTTAGTATAAAAATGGGGGGGGGGGAAACTTACGTCGTTGGACTGGTATCTTTGGCTTTTATTTTGTTTACCAATGAAGTGATATGATTAGCATCAACTAGATTAGGAAACAGTTGTGAGAAAGAAACAGAAAACTAACCTTTTATACCAAGATTCTTCATGGATGAAATCAGATAAAATAAGTTTTCAGCTGATATATCTTGAGCTAACCATTGTTGAGACAATTTTTCCACCTCTTGAGCCGATATCTATAGGGAAATAAATGTTTTAAGCATAGTTATACTCATCAAGAAAGTTGAATGTATGTATGCAAACGTTCCCACAGACAGATAAATCAAATTGCTACAAAAATCTGTCGGTTTCAAGTTGTAACGTTTCACAGCAGCATGCAAAGAAAGAGGGATTTTAAAGTAGACAAAAGTGTATCCACCGATAAAGAAGGGTCCATATACATGTTCCTTTGTTACCGATTTTCACCAACGGTCTCAAATCATTGATTCTTACAATCTTGAGGATCTCAACCAAGAAGTCTACATCTCATTACACGGCTAAGACTAACAGTCAAAAACTTTATGAACTGGTCACTCTGATTCGTAATCCAGTCTTATCCGACTTCGGCTGATAAAGGATGTCGAGGAAGGCATTGCCTCAGCCTGTGTAACACATATTCAAGCCATCTCAATCGGTGAAGGTTCACAACCCCATCGACTTGCTTACCTTCCTTGACTAGTTTCCTACGTCTAACCTCAATATCGTTCACTCAATGGTTCTATTACATGTGAGCAATGCTATGAAGGTGTCCACGGTCAACAGCCTATAGTCTCTTCATATCCTTTCCCAGATGTCATATCTCACAGCCGTATGATAAAACAGAGTGGACTGGAACAGTCAGTCAACCAATTGATATCAATACATAATCTGGCACTATTGTGTAACGTTTGCTAAATCCCACCACAACGAGAGAAGGCGCCAGAATGAAATATGGAGAACTAGAGGGAAAAATTGTCAAAAGTGGTGGGAACAGAGTGGCAAGGAATGAAATGAAATTTAATGTGACGATTAAGACGAAGATAATGTGTGGATACATTTGTACCACTCACATCGATTTGAGTCATAAAACCAACAGACTCCAACCACCAATTTTGGTTGTCACACGGACCCCAACCGGTGAGTCTACACTTACCCATACGGCTCAAGTCAACAGTCAAAAACGTCTAGAACTGATACTTTTTTTTAGTCTGACAGCCCTTAACCTTTCTCCAGCCTGAACCCATTTCAGCTAAAATTGTGAAACGAGGCAGACGGCGACTAGGCATGTGTAACACATATCCCAGCCACCTTAGTCGACGATGGTTCACAAACCTCATCAACTCCCCTCCCTGATACTCTACACCTGACCTCTGCATTACTGACAACTTGATATTACAATACAGAGCTCCCACTACAAAGGTAGAACTTACTGGAAGATGAATAGCTGGTCGATACAACCAAGACTCGAGTTGAAACCTAATTGTTTTTCTTGAGTTTAGCCTTACCGAGCTTTACTCAGCTAAATAATAATTACACAACCTAGGATCTTAGATACTATGTTCGTCAGGATGATTCCCCATGGTCATCACAAGAGGACTTTTCACTGAAACAGTGAGACCAGTAAGAGAGGGTCATACGTGACTCCCACACACCAGAAAATATCGGTTAGCCTGGCCAGTAATCTGAGACTACCGTCCTTAAATACCCTTAGTATTGGGTTGTTTCACTATTCTCCTCTACCTCATTTTAGATTGGTTGCAGCTTTTCGACCTTTGTAAGTGGTAAGGGTCCCATCTCGATGTTTCATTCAGGATCCGACTGGGCGGGGATCAATAGAATAGTAACTGGGTGCTAATTGAGCTGTTCCAGTCGTCTCCCCTGGGAGTGAACCACAGATCTATCTTCCTACATTATAGTCTCAATAATTGACTTTTTTTGCCCCAGTTACCATAAAAGTGTAACTAGCTACCTACTGTTACCTATCACCGCTACCTTTTCTATCTCGTTAGCCTCTGCTACCCACTACTGTTTGCGGTCATAACGTAGACCTTTTGTCAGTCTAAGTTTGTGTTGCATTTGCTCCTTATTCTACACGGAGCCTGCAGGGATACGTTTGCATGCATCCCGTAAATTCAGAAAAAGCTGCTGAGACCCGCTGATCCTTTTGAACCACTGTTTAAGAGCTGTCTACGATCTTCAACGCTGTCTTGGTGGCAGAGTGAAGATGGCGCCAAACTGTTGGATGAATGTGGTTTTGGTCCGATAACTGTTTAGCCAGTTTCTCCCCAAAAGAAAGCCTTAGTATTCTCATGGTCAAACAGCACTCACAATCGTCTTGTTGTTGCAGCTTCCCCATGTCGGTTTAGTAGCAGATATGCACGTGCTCAAACCAACGCGTTGCTGCTGTCCGAACACGTGCTCCAGAAGAAGCGGCAATCTTCCACTGACCATCTCGAGCAATAACTGACAACAACATGGTTTGTCGGTATTCACTGCTAAGTTGGTGGATGCCAAGACATACAATGTCTTTCTTTACGTCTGAAGTTTGTGCTGACCAGAAATAAATGGTTTTTTGTGCATAGTTGTAGCAGGCGAACGTCGTTGTCCGCTCATTCGGCTGATTCCAAAAGTGCCACTAAGGTGCACTTATGCCTGAGTCTATCCAATTGCGAACTGAAATCACCTGCTATAACAACCACGTCTGAACGTTTGGCTTTCAGTAGGACACCTTTCACTTCTTCGAAAATGCAGTCAGTGAAACACAGCATAAAGGATTGTCAACTGTAATCCAGTCTAGCAGAGTATTCTGTGCCTTGGCACTCGATTCTATACCTACACCAGGAAGATCGCGAGGATTGGCCATTGAGTCTCCAGAAATTCGAAGGGTGAATTTGGCGGATCCACAGTAATTGTTTGGTGAGGCTAAGTGAACCGCAAACATATGCCTGATCCGAGTTGCTAGTTTTGCTTAGAGAGGCTTGTTGGCCAATTTGACGGAGGTGTGGACAGTGAAATCTTTAATCTGTCGTTTAGAGAGCGGTTTTAGATTAGTGATCGTACTTGGTGAATCAAGATAGTTGTCAGTAGCTGCAGAGCTGGAAGAAGTTAGAGATGAGGGGAAATATTGACCGAGAGGCGTGAAGGTAAGGAAGTAAAAGGTGGACAGTGATCTCAGGGGACTTGAATGCACATCGAGTTGTAAGGGCGGTTGACACTTTCCAGCGGCCTACACTGTCGAAAGCTAGATCTTGACTTACCTGAATAAAGGGTTGATGCATAACGACAGAGACCAAAAGACATATGCCTGAGGTCGGTCATACAGTCTTTTTAAGAGTCTGAAGCGTTAGTTAGCTTTTATCGAATCCAAATCTATATCAGTCGCCGGTATTCCACAGGGTTGAGAGCAAGTACTATTTATTCTTCAGGTCGACCTTTTCTAACCTCCACTTCTCTTAAGGAAGGCAGCATCAGGGTGGAACCACCCAGAAGAAACACCTCACCGTTGTCACACCCTAGCCAGCAGTAGGACTTTATTCTCGGATCCCATCACAGCGTTAACATTTTTACTGTGACGGTAACTGTTGCCTTATCACTACCTAATAGACCTTTCCGGCATGGTAGGACCATGAGGGAACACGCGTTCTATCTAATGTAGCTCGCTGGGCCGTAATATGCAGGTATGACCATTACGTTAAGGTAGCAGGGCAGTATGCTCGTCTTTTGGTGGATATTCGAATATCTGACTTGAGCCAGAGTTGGTTTAATGTTTACACATTTCAATAATTTACATATGCGACGTTTTACATTACTACAGCAATGGGATAAGTACTGATGCTTACTTTTGGAAAAGCCAGCAACTTGCTTCTTGGGACCCTATCGCTTTCATCTCTAAATCTGTATTAAAAAGTTTTTAAATCAAATATCTTCAAGTTATGAGGACTTAACAGAATACCTAATCTACGAAAAACAGAACTTATAACTTGAGCGGAAGCCAACGAACTCTTAGTAGAGTGAAGTCTCAAGAACATTTCCAACTAAATTTCACCAGGTCATTAATATGAACCTAATGTATTGTGGAAAAAACAATGTCAAAAAAATTCCCATCTTACCTTACACTTTGCAGGATCTAATAGTTTTTTTCCCACACTTGCAAAAAATGCTAAATCTGGGCTGCTGACGGGTTTATTTAGTGTAGAACAGATTGAATCCACATTTGAAATCTTTTCACTGAGAGAACTAAGACCGAGCATAGAATGGTAGAGTTTCAGAGCATCAGACAGTGACTCTTCAATTTGTTTCTGAAAAACTGTACTGAAATGGGCCTTATCTCGAGAAGATATAGAACCAATGAATACAGGGTTGTTTTGTACTGTCAGAACATCCCCAATGAGGGATATACAAACAAGCCATACCAACGTAACCACGTGTCCCATCACTTTAACACGAAGACAAACTTTCTCGAAAGCGGCGCGTAATCACAACTGACGTCCAAAATTTGGTTCACACAAACAACAAAAGATTGAACAGTTCTCAGTTAACTGGCAGTACTTGCATTTAAAAGGTATAAATATCTTTCACCACCAGACTTTGTGATTTTTATTCAGAGGTTGCTAGATTTATATATAAAAAGCAAAATCAGTAGTATGAGTAGAAGAGACTAGTAGTTTCTGAACTCTGGCTTCAAGGTATTGAGGATCTGTTCTTTTCTCTTAGTTATACTTTTTTACTGATTTCAGAAACCTCCGCATTTTACAAGCTCAAAGCTTCAGAGTCAATGGCTTTCTGACCGAAGGTTTTCCATTACAAACTGCAGGCTGTTTTCCTTGGAATATCAGTAGAACTGTTGGTAGAACCAGTAAGCCTTTTGCAATTTCTGTCTTCGCGGGCACATGTAGGTTGCGCGATAAAAGGGATGGGCAGGGAATGAGAGTAGAGAAGGCGAAAATGCTTGTGGAAAATAAGTGTTAATAGTAATAATACGGAGAAGGTAAGGATCGTATTGACTATACTAGGACTGCGCAATACAAGAATAGATGAATTTACTTTCAGTTACTTCTGGTGATTTTTAATGGTGGGCCATTTAGGCCCACGTATTTGTAGAGCATCCGTCTGAAGGGGTCAACAAGGTGGCTGTTGTTATTTCCTTCGGAAGGGCGTTCAGTAACGCGCATACTGTGAAAGTTAGATCTAACCCTTACCTTAGCATTCCGGCAAAGCGTGCCCATCGGCTTCCTACAAGACTTAGACAGATAACTTTTCCTGTTGAGGCAGTTTGTCTGATGTACGATCTCGCAGGATGTTACTACGTCACCTTTTTCTTCGGTAGCTAGATATGAATAAGCCGAAACGTCCGAGGCATTATGATACACCACAGCCAATATGTGACGAGCTTGGATAAACTAGTTGATGTCCGGCTCTTGCTTATAGGTCTTACGAGACGGTTCCACGTTTCACTGGAATTTTGACGCCGTAAACGAGCCCACTCGCCTGCTATAGCACTGATGGACCCAGTTGGTGGTTGAATGTTAGCTAAATTCATGGGAAGGTGGATAGTTTGCCCCAGGACCGTGTTGTAGGTGGGTTCCTCAAGGCGAGGTTGCCGGAGATGGTCATAAGGGGGAGGTAAGGAGAGTGAAAGGATGACTAAGAAGAGCGAAGGATAGGAAATAAGAAAAGAAGACGTGGGGAAAGGAAAGTCCGGATGACTTAGAGGAAGGAGGGTGGAAACGATGATGTGGAAAATCATGATGACAGGGGTGAATCTGTGGATTATCCGAGAGTATGGGGGAGAGAGAGGAAGAAGGAAGCAGGTAGGGCTATTGTGGGGGCAATGGAAGTAAAGAAAATGATTTTCTCAGTAATGTGGCCACTGGAACAGCAAAACGTCTTACAGGAAGGCATAATACCGAGTGTAGTCTATGATGAAAGTGGCAACACAAGAGAATCGATGTGGGGGTGACTGAGTTGGAATGATGCAGAATTAGATGGTTGGTTCCACTTCTTCCAAATACCAGCTGCTAGGCACATGACTTTACATCACTGCGAAGCTGTGTCAACGTTTCTCGAAGTTGTACACACTGATTGTCAACTTCGGACGGGTGACTTTCTGTGGGTTTCCATGAGGATCGCCATGATGACCATTCGGTGAAATTCCATTATCTGCGTAAATAGAATCACTTGGTATCTTGTAGGCCGTTATCAAGTCACCACGTAGCCAAAGGTAAGTAAGAAGGTGAGGGCCTAGATGTTGCAGTTTGTATTCGTATGGCTTTTGCAGAACCCCCACAACACCCTTCGTAGCTCACCCATGAACTTCTATGCAATCCGCACCTCTTTTCGAGTATGATGATGCACTGACGTTGAGAACCCCTGGGTGAGCTTCAGAAAGGTTGCGGGGTGGAAGCACGTAGTTGTCTGCACATGAAGTGTGGTGCTGCGTGAGCTGTGGGGGGCGTTTTCGGTAGTTTCCAGCTTCTCGGTAATCAATAATCCCACACGATGCAGCATTTATCTAGGTCAAGTTTCAGTTCTTCATTATCCACCCGCTCCCCAAGCATCCTGAGGTCGCCTGCAGTACAACTGCCATCAGCATAAAGTGGAATCAGAGAACCGAAACTCAGTGGGAGGTTACTCTAGAAGAGAAGGACACATAATTACTCCTTGTGATACGCCAGGCTATGGTGTTCTCCAAGTTGAGCAAACCCCATTGACTTCAGTGCAGAAATCCTTGCAGTCTGGGATTGTACCTGATCGGTGATATCAAACCTTGCTACTATGGAAATAACAGCGACCTGTTAGACCATTTTGAAGGCCTAGACGAAGCTTATAAAGATTACACGAAGTGGGACCTGGAGAGTCCGCGATGCCATCCGGTTGTCACAGGCTGACAGAGGGTTCGAGGCGCAGGATGTGCTCTTTCGGTAGCCAGGATGGACTCGCCTTCTCCCCCAATAGTCCCTGGTGCGTCTCTCTATCGGGTCTCCCACGTCGCCTGACAACACTGGCGTAAGTAGCTCAGGTTGATAGCACTTCGGGCTCCACCTGTCTCCTTCCTTGAAGATGTGAAGGAACACAGTATGTTTCCACTCCTGCCGGGTGTTGTTTTTCGAAGGAGTGTTGCCGCAGGTTGTACAGCAGACCATACAGAGTTCTCCCACATTTCTGCGACACAGTCGGGTGTTGTCGCATCCTGAGGATATTCCTATGCGGCAGTTTCCCGAGAACCATCTCAGGGGTTACCTGCTGTTCGTACAGCTTTTCTACATTTGGTAATGAAGGTTTTTCGTGAAGTCTGTGTGCTTGGTTGGGTGGCAGGATTTTCAGCTGTTTGTTGGAAGTGATGCTAAAGGATCTAAAAGCGCCCAATCCAGAAAGGTTCAGTCCAACTGGACATCTAATGACGCATGTTGCGGGTCTAGTAGATTTTCTCTAGTCACGGATCGACGTGCGTTCCTGAAGTTAATATCTAGCCCGCTGACAGGGCTTGGCGGAAACGGCCTCCTATCCTACCACGCCTTGATGTTCCATGAACTCTTTGTAACCATATATGCAACGTGATCTGAGTTTTTCTGGAGGACCTCCATCTGCGCAATGCCTTCTCTCTGGCTGTCAGGGGGTGCTCGCTGCCTTATTTTAGCCGTGAATTTAGTTTCTCATGTGCCACTAACACCATGCAAAATGTTTCCGCAGATAGCCCTCTCGCTACCATCCGTCACTGCTTCCCATTAATGGCCAGTCGGCAAAGAACTCCACTCCTTAAGCCATGGGGCTATCAACGGATACTACTTCGGCGTCGTGTAGTTTGCCTTGCTGTAGCAGACACAAGGGCGAGATCCCTCCCACAATTGTTGCTACCCGAAGTTACTGTCGATTTTGTTCAACGTCGCTAGCAGGGGTCCGACAGACCTGCCCCACCAGGTACTAAATGTATCCGACCGTAAAGTGCTAGCAAAGTTTTCGTAGCTAGTTCACTTTTAAAATGGTCACCGATAAACATTAGCAATGTATCTTCACCCCTGAGTTCCCTGTCTCTCCTAAGCAGATACACAGCATTTACATTCGCTGCAGTTTCACTGGTATCCAAATGTTATGACGCTCCTGCAAGGACTACAATTTTCAAGTCAGGATGGGAACAGAGAGGTCACAGCCCATCATCTCACATCTAAGTTCCCTCATACTATTGTATAGACACTTGGAGGTGATTCTCAACGCGCGAGGTGTTTTATTGGTGAGTGGCGCTTGCGCGCAACAGTGAAAATGGTTCATACTAGGCTGGTTTTAATGGGACCAGCCTAGTCAGCCTCCTACTCAAAGTGAATTCTGGGGTCATCATAATATCATGGTTGTCAGTCTGGACTTCTTCATATCCATGTATAGTAATGGTAACTTTAGTACATTTTTGGGTTTCTTATCTGGTTCTCGCTGTCGGCTCCTCTACTTGCTGCTGGATTTTACACTCAACGTTTGCTCATTTTCTCCGAAAATAGAAAAGAAAGTGAGGTGACTGGTATGTTGAGGAGTTAAAAGATGAATGAAACGTATTGGTTTATATGTATTTACTGGAGCTTTGACCGTTCCCACACCGTTCTGGAAGGGTATTCTACATTGGCCTTACTGTCACGACCAACCTGTCATTTACGTATATGATCCGAAAATCGGCGGGGGTGACTACTGGTATCATTTTCCCCTCACAATGGGAAGAGCATCAGAGAAAGAAGCCACCCAAACTTCACCCAGGAGGTCACCAGGTTGCGACGACGCGACCAAAGGTCCTGAAAAGCCATTCCTAGACCTCCATCAAAACCAATATTCGACCTCTTAAGACGTTCGTTAGGGCCAAACACGCCTCCGAAAGTGGAAATGGCCAGTCTTGCTACCCATTTTCATCAGCGGAGAAAGAAAAACCGTGGCAAATGTTAACTGGCCATTTTACTCCCGAAACCGTCCAAGGTACTGGAAAGCTTGATAGCCGTTTACATCTGGAAATACTGAAGCCGGAGGAAAACTTCACAAATTGCTCGAAATGGCATTCCGAACGGTTGCCAGTGTGACGTAAAAACGCTAACTGCATTAGAAGACCATCTGAAACTGAGAACAAAGAAACCAGTCCACGTCAGCTTTCTCGAACTAGCCGAGATATTGTGTGCTAAATCCTAGCCCGAATAAGATTGTATTAGGAAGCATAAAATAACCTCTGTTGTTGTCACTTCGCTGAGTGGTCCTGTCGATCCAGTCTTAACGCCGGTCTTGTACGTGGCTACCTTCATGCATGCTTGCCACGTATGTCCAACCCATGCACACGGTGAGTCAAGTAACTTGGCCACCCAGACAGAGTATAGAACACATAAGGTTCAATGCATGCCATACGCATCTCTTGGCACGTGGAATCATCTGTACGCAAAAAACTTAATTGGGTGGCACCAACGCACCCTTACCCCCGAGTTATTACTTATAGTTCTCAAAACAAGTCATTAAGTCAGCCCTCTTCGTTGAAGAGAGACCTAAACACTCGAGGTATGGTAATAATCGGGAAATTCAGTCGTCAGACCAACAAGCAAAATGCACGCAGTGCCTTAGATAACTCTACATTTTCACTTTATACAACAAAAATAAAAGTGGAAATCTAATAATCGTTCGCAGAATCATGTATCAAATAAGCAACCATAGCAGGACGATATTATCGTCCCATGAAAGACAGTCTCATGAGATGTCTCCTCGCATGTACCACAGAAGTGCTGATTTGAGGGTCGTACCCAACTTCTCCCCTCACAGACTGTGTTATGGAACGACCTACTGAAGGGGGTGGCCACAGCCAACTCAGTTCGATCTTCCAAACGAATGATGGACCCGTTTTGAACATGTACGGATCACCAACAAAGTGGCCCTGCTGCTCCACGCCATTTACCGGCCTTCTTCTTATTATTACTGGTAGCAGTATTGTCCTTCATGACTAATCTCCACTCCTCTTTTCTCCTGCCATCCGATCTCACACACTACTTTCGGAATGGCACTTCATTACAGGTGCCTATACACACAGGAATTCCGGAAAGTTCATTGATCTTACCACCGGCTCCACTGCTCACCTAGACAAACCAGGCTGCGTTTCGCAACAGAAAACCTTCCGGCAGACAAGCACTATCCTCGAAGCTCTGAATAGGTTGGAGCTCATAGGAAACTAACTCAGCTTTCATTTCTTAACCACCACTTTTCTCTCCCCATTTGCTCGTATACAGGTTAATAGCCACTGGAACTAGTGACCCGTTGATTCGAGATACAGAAGCCAGTTCGCTGGAAGCTTCTTCTATTCCGTCAACAATCATAAGGAGGACTTCTGGTATCACAGGAGTACAACCAAATGGAAACAACTGAACCTCAGGACCTAAAAGCGAGAGTTCAGACGCCACAGTTCTGCTCTACTCTCACTGTTGCACTCGCATAAGTATTCAACCTCCATCTCATTCCCACTACTATAGCTAGCTGGTGAATTCGAATTCTGCATAATGGTGATCTCGCAAAAGTCCTCAGATGTCCACTTGAGGACCCTGTAAGCAACTGGCTTTTATCGTACATTCCTACTTCTAACTAACGCTTTGGCGTTCGAACCGATTGGCAGTAGTCTCAGTGGCCACAGCATCACTCAACAGGGTGCAGGTACGTCCAGCTGACGAGTCCCAAATAGGACGGAACACACGTCCCAAGTAAATTGCCTATGTAATCCTTTAAAAAGTACTCTTGAGTGGTGTTCTATTTCGGGCGAGCTGGCTACTAGTTAGCCTACTTATGTGCTAACCGAAAAGTAAACCACGATGGGTCTGGTCTAAGGACCTATGGAAGTGTTGGGTAACATCTGTTAGACCAAAGGGCACACGAACTGAGACAATCTGAAGGGAGTAGAAAATGAAGCTTTGGGGTTGGTTGTCGGTTTTCACAGAAAACTAAATTGTTAAAAAAAATCCTTAATCACGGAGTGCTTGAAATCCTATATGTGAGGGGCAGGCCGTCTATTAGCAACTGTGTTTATTCAGTCAGTGTTCTATAATCATCACACGCCCACATCTCAGCTGATAGCCTTATGTGAATCAACTGCAGAAGTGATGGCGAAGGGTCCTTGAGAGGGCCTACAATCCCCAACTCCAGAAGCTTATCAAATTCCTGATCTCGCTAACTGCAATCTTTGGCAATTTAAGCGTCGACACTGCAGGATCCATTTAGTAACATATATAGTAGAACAGATGTTAGTTGAATGAAGGCAATCGGTGGGATGTCGTGTCTCACCTAGGTTTTCTGCTTTTTGGCTCTCGTCAACAAGGCGTATCTGTAATCTCGACGGGACTGATGTCCCATTTTGGATTCGAAATCACGTCACTAATCAATGTGTCCAGCGAACTCCATAAAGAGGTCAGTTATGGCCTGGATAGCTCAGTGGTAATGTTGCTAGCTTCAGCACTAGGCGACACGATTCGAACTTCAGGCGGGACATCAATTTTTCCGAGGCTGCAGATGTACTTTATTGACGAAGGCCAACAAGCATGGATTTGATGGGACTCAAGCTCATCGAGTAGACACAAAGATAGTAAATTTACTAATTGAAAAGTATCAGTGAAAATACAACGGTGTACACATATTCAGAGACTTCAAGTGTAAATGGTACAAAGAGAGTTTGAGCATAAGTATCATGAAAAATCGAGAGTTCAACACATTTACATAGATTCTTAAATTCCAAGTACATCTCCTGAGATTCCAACTGTAGAAAATAGACTGAACAGAAGGAAAAAAGGACATGAGACACCGAAACTCATTTCATCATAAAAAAAAGCTTAAGGATACACAGAAAAAGAAAATTAACTACCAGCGATTAATACCAAAGAATCGAACTCTATAAAATTGTGGCAGTTTTGGAAGCACAGCCAGTATGATCATTGATGATGCATTGATAAGGCAATGAAGAGGATCATATTCTGTGTAGAAACTTGCGAGTAAGAATCTAGAAATTAAAAAAGAAAAACACAAGAAGACTTATGGAATTTCATCAAGATTCTAAAGTAAGCTGATGAGTCCACTTAGCTGTCGAGCAAACAAAATTTAAAAAATGCAACGATATAATCACGGCAAATTTGTTGATTACACTTTCTATAGACAGAGGTAAAGCGATAGTCAGTTTACCGAAAGAAAGGCTCTCTGCTCGAACACTTGTCAGCTTGTTACAGCCTATGGTGTCATGTCAGGTGACTTGTACTCATCTAATGGTCTCCACCAAAGGTGCCAACCCTCTCCAATTTCATGATAAATATTCTTATGGAGGTTTCCCTCTCATCGCCTGATCACACAGATGTTGACCTAATCACAGGAGAATCTTCGTTAGACTTAGAATATGCAGATGACATAGCCCTGTTAAGTGAAGACGCTGACAACATGCAGAGTCTTCTGAACACTTTGAGTGACAATTTGAGAATGTTTGAGATGCATTTCTCACAACCCAAATGCAAATTATTGCTCCATGATTGGTCTTCAACGGTGCCCTACAGCGGCTAACAATAGAGAGTGGAGTGGTTGAGTATGTCAACCACTTCGCTTACCTGGGAAGTAGGATCAGCCCTGATGGCTCAATGGTTGATGAAACCCCGGCACGGATACAAGAGGTTCGGTTGGTTTTTCCCAATTTATGCCATCTGTGGCACCGCGGTGATATCCGATAGTCTACTAGGGGTCACGTGTATTGCACAGCAGTCCGGTCTGTTTTACAATAAATAAAAAATATCTTTATTCATAACTTGAGAATAAAGATATTTGTTTACTTACTGCACGACTGTGAAACATGGCCATTGAAGATGGAAGATATAAGAAGGCTTCAAGTGTTTAACCACCGTTACCTTCGTAGTATAGGCCGCATTCCACGGTGTCACCACACCACGTGATCAGCGCAGGAGTCAGGCATAGAGTTTTGATGAGGGAGAAGAGATAAGTCAGTTGACGAGGTTATGAAGCCTCATCGACTGAGATGGTTGGGACACGTACTACGTATGCCTAGTCACCGGTTGCCTCGTCACACAATGCTGGCCAAAGTAGGTGCAGGCTGGAAAAGGGCCCGACGTGGCCAGACTAAAACATAACACCAATGTATGAAGTCGTTGACTATTGGTTTGAGCCATGTGGGGTGACGATGCAGACTAGGTGGTTGGGGTCCACGGGACAAGAGGAACCAGTGGTTGGAGACTTTAGGGGATATGGCTCAGATCCGATGTCAGTGGCGCAGATGTATACACACATTATTCTCATATTAACAACGCTATACCGAATCTCACCACTTTCTCACTCTTCGTTTCTCTCTTTTTGTACTTTGTACTTCTTTTGACTGCATTCTCTTATCTTCACCTTGCGCCTCACTGCCTTTTTACCTGACCTACTGATATGAGGTGTGGCAACTCAGAGAGGGTTACGCAGTAATGCCCGGTCCTAGGTTGATCCGGATGGATAGCAAAACAAAGCAAGCTAACTATTTTCTGTAAGTTGATGATTTCGACGGTATGACTGGACTCTTTTGTATGTTATGCATCTACTAGGCACATTCATAAAATTTAGTAGTTACCTTCCTCTCAGTCTCTTAAATAAACTTTTTCCTAGAACTGTGTGTAGATGCAATTGAAGATGACATCAGCCAGGCACTTATCTACACAACACTAACTTTCATTGCATGACAGAAAATCGGTTCCTTTTGGGGGAGTTTTACGTAGAGGGTTGTTATCTCTGATTTCCCGCTGTTGCATAATCTTACTTTACTCCTATTTATTTACCCACTAATGTAAATTCATTTGATCCATCTATCCATCCAAGAAATTTGAGTGCTGATAGAGTTGTAAGGGCGGTTGACACTTCCCGACTGCCCACACCGTGGAAAGCCATTTCTTCTTAAGGCATCTGAAAGAGATTTGTGCGGCCGTAGAGCCCACCGGACATCTGCTTGAGGCCTGTCACACTCAGCTTTTTGTGCACGACCATTCTGATTTTTTGTTGTTTTGGGGCCGGTGGTAGAAAAGAAACGACAAATGAACCAACACCGCCGGCCCGGCAGATCGTGGAGTATGGTGGAGTGTGTTATTTTTGGGGCCGACCCTTTCTAACATCCCGTTTCCTTCCACTGAGAAGGCAGCATCAGCATCGCACTGCTGGTCATTCAAGGGAAACACTACTGCTGTCACACCCCATCCAGCTAACAGCAGTATGACTTCGCTATCAGACCCCCATTATAGTGCAGTAATTTACAGTACACCGTACACAGTACATCGTCTAACCACTGTCCAACAGACCTTTCTGGTATGGTAGGACTTCGAGGGAACAGGCGTTCCACCAGCATGGCTCGTCGGATCATTGTGATATGCAAGCCCGACGACCACGTCGAGGTAACAGCTATCGGTTGGGAGAACCATTTGGTACTTGAAATTGGCTGTGCAATAGTTACAGTAACATCACTAGCCGCCCTTATCTTTGGATATTTTTCTGCTGTGTGAAAACACTGATGCAATGCAAGGTCCTCTGAACGCGTTTCGCACATATCAAATGTAAGATGATGTTCCAGTGCTGGTCTGCAGCTACTGTTAATTTCAGTGGAGGGGTGGAATGCGTCGACCAATTCACTCACTTGAGGAGTCGCATCAGCCCACCAAACGAGCTAGTTGTTGGAGAAATCTCAACTCAAATACAAAAAGCCTATTTCGTATTGGCTAAGTTGCATCATTTGTGGCACCAACTAACCACCAATTAAAGGACGAGTATACTGTAACTCCAGTCCGTTGTGTCCTATTATACGGCAGTGAGACGTGGTCGTTGGGAGTGGAAGACATGGAGTGATTACAGAGTTTTAATCACAGATATCCTCGTAGAATTGGTCTTGTGAACAGTGTTGAAGTCAGGCGAAGGGTACCAAATAAGGTAGGCAAGTCGGTGAATGACGCTGCGAATCTTAGTCGACTGAGGTAACTTGGACAAGTGTTGTGTGCATACCCACCCAGCGCCTACCTCTACGTGTCATGTTAGGGGAAGCTGAATTAAGATGGAAGAGGATGGCTGGATTAAGGCATGGCACCAGACGATTAAGCCTTCGACTGTTGGTCTAAGTGGTGTGGGAGATAAGTAGACCACCTATTTGCAGTCGGTGGGAATCAGTAGTTGAGGAGTCTTGGTGACATAGTTGAAAACATTCGATGAAAAAGGTGCAGACGTATCACTCCTTGACAATCTTCCAAAGTTTGAATATCTTCAGATATGTAAACCAATACACTTGTGTGGAAGGCTTTGCCCTGATTTTATCTGTTTTTCATAGGTCATGACATCATCTTAATCCACTGAAATGATTTTCAAAGTTCATCAACTTGAACACACAAGAATAAGAAAGACAATGAGGTAACCGATTGATGGATACCGATAGAACATTTTGTTAGGTTGGAGGATTATAGTTGGATCGGTCAGTTCACTAACTTTAGTAGTTGGGTACCTCTTCGTTGTAAAATAAGTCTCATTCACTCACTGTGTTCTTCTAGAATCTATGGAATATGTTCAGAAGATGCGGTGGATGCTGAAATCGAAACTCTTAGAACAACACTATCTAATAACGGATGCCCTTAAAAGGTTTATTGATAAGAATCTGAAGAAAAGAATCACTCCCTATCCCATTACAGTCCCTAAGAAAAATTTTAACCATGAATCTAGAATTCAAAGGAGATACCGCAGCTGAAGTGCTGAAAAGTCGTCTGTTAAGATGTATCAATAGCAGCTTCTATGCTGCTAGACTGAGATTGATATTCTCCAGCCGCCGTCTGATTCGTCAATGCGTGAAGGATAGGCTACCACTTATGTCAACATCTATGTGTGTATCTACAAGTTAACATGACTAAATTGGACGTCATAGGCGTACCCTTCGGAAAACGTGTTTCTAAACATCATATGTGAACACCTTGTTGAATTAGGTTACTCAGCACATCGAGATTCATCCTTTAAAATAATAATTTACAAGGTTAAATTGAACTACTCCAAAGGTTTACACGCTTCCACCACCTATGGATAACTGAAGTATTAGGTATACATGAACACAAAGCGAAACTTTGCATTCAAAAACGTTTTGTGAAACCACTTTCTCTACATTGACCTTAATAATTCATTTTGTTGATTTTGTCAATTTGAGTTCACTTTGGTATACTTCTCTTCTATTATTATTATTATTAGTCCCTTGGGTTCCTAGTGAAACATAGGGCTTCAGTAGCACGCCTCCAGTGGCCTCTGTTCTCCGAGATCTTTTGAACCTGGTTCCACGACAGCCCAGAAGCTCTCATTTCCTCTTCGCACGATCTCTTCCATGTCACCTTCGGACGTCCAACTCGTCGCTTCCCATGGGGATTCCACTCGAGTGACTGGCCTGACGCGTGATGTCCACAGTCGGCCTTGTCAGTATATGCCCAATCCATCTTCATTTCCTCCTGCATATTTGTTGCGTGATAGGTTCTTGGTTGGCTCGTTCCCAAAGCACCTTGTTGCTTATTCTTTCTGGCAATCCATCTGATCTTCAGTAACGAGCTAGTGTAGGCAGTTGTTGATGAATGTCTGTAGTTTATTGGAAATCCCTTTCGTGACGCGCCAAGTCTCTCAACCATCACACAGAAGCACTGACTTAACGTTGGTGTTGAAAATCCGGATCTTGTTCCACATGCTGAGTGCAGATCTCCGCACTGGTTTCAGGCTAACGAACGCCTGTCTTGCATTTCCGATTCTGACTTTGACATCCTCGTCTGTCCCGCCACCTGTAGTTGAAACAGTGCTTCCTAGATAGGTGAGGGAGATTACTCCCTTTAAGATTCTCCCGTTGATGGTGACTGGAGTTTGTTGTTGTTGTTGGAGTATATGTATATGCCCAATCCATCTCCACTTCCTCCTGCATATTTGTTGCGTGATAGGTTCTTGGTTGGTTCGTTCCCAGAGCTCCTTGTTGCTTCTATA